GTTGTAAGCAGCCACACAGTGAGGGCGAGGAACCATTACATGTTTCTTTTCTTTTTGACAATATCTCTTCACCGTTCCTCCTGGTTGAACACCAGCATTTGTGGAGGCGATAGTAACAACAGAATTGTCCATCCACCGTACCAAGATGATACCATCATTTCTTTCGATGACATATTCGTATTCCCCCCGCTTTTTCTTTTTGAATTCTTTTTTTCCGGTAATTGGACACGATCTAGGTATTCTATTTTCTCTGATTGTGCCAATTGCCCTATATCCCAATTGTTGAAGATAAGCCAATAAATTCAAACCAGTAAATAAGTTATCGATGTGGATAATATACGGTAAATTTGGTTGGGTCAGCTCTTTCAGCATTAGTATCAAAGGTGCTGCGCATTTTCCAACTAATTTGCTAATATCTATATCTTCTCGAGGATCATTTCCCTGGTATAAATCAAAATCAATGAGATATCCATCATTTGAGTTGAGAGACCACATTTTGTATCCAAAACGGATCGGCTTCCCACGGATGAATTGTTTACATCCGTGGCGTCCGTAATATTTTATCATAGTCTCATCATAGGATGAATTCTGAACTGGTTGAAAATTGTGCAAGAACTTTTCTTTCATTGCATTCATGAGTGGTCGCAATTTCCAAACCTTATCAGATTGAATCACATGAGTGTTATCTGCCATATGGATGAATCTCTGAATCTGGAGAAATCTATTTCTCCGCATAGAATCTGATACCATTTTGTTGTGCATGTCATCTTTCATATCCCAGTACGACCGTTTTGTTGGTAAATTGTTGTAACCACTTAGTATAAGAATTCCTATGAAACAGCGAATTTCGGAATCACTCTACATTTTTGAATTGAGCATATTTTCGTGTTTCTTCAACAAGGTGATGTAGAATCCCATCGTCAAAAAAGAGTTCGAATAGCTCAACTGGCGACATGTCCTTATACATCGAAAAATCTGCCTCGGGAAATTGTCGAGCCATCGGTTCTATGTCACCAGAAATCCACTTTGGATCAGATTTTTCCTTTAGACGATCTGCAATCCACTCTCCGTTTCCAGAATGCAACGAAGCATCTTTTTCGGTTGTTGAAGTCGAAGGCATATTCACAGTCTCTTCAAAAACTCCCTAAAAAGAATAACGCATATATGTTCACGTCCTAGAGAGAATAGGTTCACTTACAGTTCCAGGTTCATCGTTCTGACCGATATCTCCAATTCTCTCATTATTCAACAATTTCATTTCTGCAGGAGCTCTCAATTGTCGACCTATAATATCAAAATAAATGGAAGGTGGAAATAAATATATAGCAGAAATACCAGTGAGGTTATGAATCATGCCTCCTTCGTCTTCGTCAGCAGAATCCTCATCTGTGTCGGCATTAGGATCTGGTGGTTCCACAAATATTTCATCAACTTGTTGGAGCAAGTCCTCATCATCATTCAGCATATCCAAAGCTTGCGAAAGCGAAAAACCCTTTCTGCAATGAAATGAGTATTTTATCATCTTCAAACGCCCACGGATACCATATGGTATCAGTGACATTTGTAACATTATTGTACACCCTGTATTCGAAATATTCATCTCATTCATATACAGGAATATTGTATCATTCATGAGCAAAGAATACACGTATCAAATGTTACGTATTTTGAAACAGATAAAGTCAAAAAAGTACTTACTCCCATTGTATGTCCATTGTTCTCTTCAAAATGGAATCACTCGATATAATTTACTGGTTTACCGCTGCGAAGACGTCTCGGAACACAATGGCAGTAATAGAGAACTGAAAGTATTTGTTTACAAAGCACGCAAACGAGGTCACGCGGTTCCACCACTTCAATAACCATTGCGTCGCATTGGAGAAGGGGAAGATGATTTGCGATACCATATGGTATCCGTGGGCGTTAATGGGTTAAGAAAGAATCACACTTCAATCCTAAACATAATGAAGCCAAGTTTAACAACTCACTTTTTCCACAGGGCAATAGGAAGTTAAGGGTAAAAGAGTAACTTTTGTTTGTCCCTGTATAATGATCAAACCATCAGCTTTCCTCGGGACCTAATATTCAAGAAAATATTCCGAAACATGAATATACGGTTTGGTCGAAATTTCACCAAAATCGGACAAGAATTAAAAAAGTTACAGGGCGAAATTTTATGGTAGCCGTTTTTTTTTGCGGGTGAATGTATATTCCCTACTTACTCTAGGGTTGAAAAATTGTCTCAGTGAATTAGGACCCCATCAACCCTCGTTGCACCTCTCGCTACGCCACTGGCTATATCTTAAGTTGTATTATTTCCTTCATCTTTCTTTCAAATCAGATGTAAATACATTTTGTGATTTCACATAAAAGATGAGCTCATGATTTTATGAAATTTGTCATGTAATTATTTATATAATATAATAATGTAATTTAAAAGTGAATTTATGCAGCACAAATTTACACAAAACTCCAACTTACAGTTACACTTCAACTCTTCTCATTACTCATGCTTAATTTCATGCAGAGAAATTAAAACTAAACTTGAACTATCAAGTTGGCCAACTTTCTAGTGTAAAATGTAAATGTTAATTTTCGAGAATGTGAAGTATTCTTATTGTTATGACAGAGGTATAGAGATGTGTAATGACAAAAGAGGATGGCCCATTGATTGATCTCATTTGCCATTAGCTTCTTTGCTTTTATATTATATATATTAATTTTGCTGCATAAAATACCATTAAAATGAAAGATTAATTTTTATACAAGTCAACAAGTCTAGTTCAAATTGAAGTTTGGTTTAATTGTGCTGCATAATTAATCCACGTTTATGCTGGGTTTATTAATTCAATTTAATTAACAATTAGGAATTAACAATCAACAATTAATAATCATGAGGGTGTTTATACATATCCGATATTGATTTAGAATTAAATGTGAAATGTTTTTTGATTAAAGATCAAAATGATGTGAAATAGTAATTTTGGTCTCCACAATTCATTAATGCATAAAAATATTTGAATTGAATATCACCCTTGATTATATACACTAGCGTGAATACTCAATGATAACACCAAACTCCACTTGAACAATAACAAATCCAATCTTCATGTTGTCTCCAGAGTTTCATAATTCAATTAATCATTCCAGAATTACGTCATTTGACAGGTTGCTGAGGGGCAAACATTGTATGTTGTCAAGATTTGTCATATAAAACCAGAATTAGTGGGATCGTTTTCCTTGGATTCCGAGTTGAAACCCGAAAGAATTTCATAATTTTGTTTGGTGAAACAGTTATTATATTGTGGAAGTGGCAGGGATGGCCAGGAGGGCTATGCTCATCAAAGGTAACCTAACAGATAGTTTGTGTGCCCCTCAAGAAACCATATCAAAATCACGTGTTCTAGAATAGTCAATTTAAGTAGATAGTTGTTAGTTTAATTCTTAGTTTAGTTGAATCTATAAACCCAGCATTAGAGATTAGGTACGCATGTATTTGGTTCTCACCTCAAACTCCAATATCTTTTGTACCCTCAAACCACTTCCTATGATTCACTAGCTGATGGATGGTTAATAATGTTAATATTTGTTATCTACTATTCTACGAATTTCAAATTCTTCCTGCAGGTTTGGCAAAGCAATTTCATTTTCATTACCACTATCATAATATTCACAATAAAAGGAACATGTTGAACAAAATCAACAACAACAAACAAATCAACTGTCACAGGTCACAACACCGAGCACACTGCCACAGTCAAATGTCAAATTTCAATTGTCAATGGAGTATGGAGACAAATATCTCTCGCCAGTCATGCAAATAGTAGCCCGCTGCCAACACAAATGCTACCATGCTGCGGACAATCTCAAGGTTATCAGGAGGTTATGTTATGTTAAGGCGTGTTCACATGGGTTGTGGTTGTGAATTGAGCAGTGTTGCCAATTGGCGGGAAATTTCTCGCATTTCGGAGAATCCGAACGCATGCGGGATTATTGGTGGGAGAAATCATTTTCCGGGAAATTCACGATATGAAATAAGCGTACGCCACCTATCGGAGTTCTTGGAAGTTGTCAAAGCGGCCTGTTTACTTTATTTTCATTGGTTCACATTTGTTTTTTGTTTGTGCTTATTGGTCATATCATCAAAACAAACCGCTCAGAAGTGTTCAAGTTGTTGCAGTTAGGTGGGATGACGTCTTATTTTTTATCGCAAATATGCGGGAAATCGTGTATGATATATGGATAGAAAGCTACATTATGTAGATGGGACAGAGGTCATATTTCTCAGTTATAATATAAATAATGTTTAAGATTCCCATTTCATAAAAAATCTACATTCTGTCTTTTGTCACCCATTGGCAAGGTGATCGACCGTTGGGGGTGCTCATATGGAGGCGCTGCTTCGAAACAAACATTTGTAACATGAAATAATACTTCATTAATTTTTTTACAAAATTGACTAATGGCATAGGAAATATTCATATTGTGATATAATACCTCATTTCTTTTTATACAAAATTCACTTAGGGCACAGGAAATGATAATAAGATAATAATTCAGAAGACAAGTCTACAATAATACCCCTCTACAATAACTGATGACTTCTTGTGGAACTTAGTGAATATTCTAGTGAATATAGCACTCAATAACAGATGAAATAAACCATTCTGCGCTCTAAACAGTAAGTAGTGAGTACTGACACTGACCACTGACGTGAAAGTTTGTGAACTGTGTATTTGTCTTTGTTAATTTTTATATCTACGATATTCTCTTTAGAAAAAATATGTTGAAAAGATAATAACGACTTTGATTTTAGGCGTCATATCATCAAGATCAGAATAACTTCTCTTCTTTTCGATAGATTATCCGTATCTATATTGTTCGAAACAAATTCCTTGATAGATTATTCAATTAATTTGAGTGTGACAGGAAATGGCGGGAAATGTGGGAATTTTACAGTTTCCTTGTTGGCAACACTGGAATTGAGGCAAGTTAGGTTAGGTTGGGATTCGTGGTTGGAATTGAGGTTGCGATTCATCAATTTCCAAAGTTTCCATAATTTTCGATTGTATTATTTGTAATGTAAACATGTTCAAGAATGTTTTATTCTCAGCTTACAAATTGGCTTCTACGACGTTAGGATATTCTCATAAACCCCTAGTTCACAATGTAATCAAACAATATCATCCATTAGTGGCCATCAACAACACAAGGAAATTCAGCAGTTCTCTTTTCCAACAACATTTTCCACATAAACTAATATTTTCGAACCTTTCTATACCACAAGCAAGCATTACTGCTCGAACGGTAACAAAGTTTTCTTATAGAAAAGGCAAAAGAAAATCTGTGAAAGCAGTATTGAGGAGATTTTATCGATTGCAATGGGGAGGTTGGATTAGAACAAAGTGTGGACGACATAAGAAGCTATGGAAAAAGAGTCCACCTAGGAAACGAAGGCTTAGACAGCATGTTTTGTGTAATGCTTCTCAGAGTTATTTATTGGATAAAATGGTTGGGCCATTCTGGAGAAAGCCCAAATATTATGTTGATGATCCTTATGAGCCTTACCACATAAGAGAAGAATTTCCATTAACTGCTATGAAGCCAAGGCCATATTTTCCACCCGATTGTTAGTCTATGCCTGTGAAATGAAGTTAGACTGTAAACATATTTGTTCTTCACCAGATGATATTTATTTGATGATGAATCAATAATAAAGCTTATTTAATTTTGTTGTCCATTTTTTTCAGGTAAGCTTTGGTACCCACAATTAGAAAACTTTTCACCAGGACATGAAAGCACAATGAGGTTGATCATGAGATCATGTAACCTTAATTGATTTATTGCTATACAGGGTGTTCCTGTGACTTAATATCTATAGCTTGAGGGCATATTCCTTGATCAATTTCAAGGCAAAAGTGCCTTTGATTCACTTGTTGTCTAAAACGCAATAGTCCAGGAGCAATATTAAATTTAACAGTGTTGTAGAACAAAGTGAAGAGAATGCTGAATAAAGTATAAAGTAATATTTTATCAATTCAACATTTTTTATTACCTACACAAATTCAATTAAAGTTTATGTTCAAAATGTCTACCCACTGCTTCACAACACATTCTTGCTCTTCTATAATTATCAAAGAGAGTGCTCTCTCTGGATTGTCTCGTATGGATGCAGCTGCAGTCATATAATTTTGAAATAGATCATCTCTGGTTTGTGTTTTATTTGAATACACTAGACATTGTATGTGTCTCCAAAGATAATAGTCAAGATGCGTACTCTGTAATATAATATTTTCTAGATATCTGAGGCTGCTATACACTAGGATATGTAGAGTTTCTGATAACAGTAACATAATATCAATTAATGCTTATATTCTTCAAACGATCTCCGAAAATGTCATATTCGTTTCTATATACATCTGATGCTCTGATGAATTAAGTTATATATATTGATACATCCAACTTGGAACATCTTTAGGTACCTATTAAGTACTATACAGGGTCGTGTATCTAAATAACGCCGAAAAAATTCAAGGGGTGATTCCTTTGTGATATCTTAGGAAATAAAGTTCATATAAACATGTGTCCTAACTTGCTTCGTTTAAGAGATACAAAGGCACCTATTCATATTTCCATGAAAAATCCTTTTTCTATTAATTTCTCAATTGTCTTTTCATCAATTTCAATAAAACGCTGTGGTTTCGTTAATGTTAATAGTAATATAATATGGAGCTTCTTTTAGTATTTTCAGTGGAGTCACAGCTAGTGGGTAAATTTATCGATATTCATGGTCGAATGTCATCGAACACTATACCGGTTTTTCTGAGTTTCATATTTTCATTAGATTGAACTATATACCTATTATGAGATAACAACTTTCTTATATCCTTTGTGTGAGTTTTGAATCTAGCTTATTATTTTTTGAGAAAACAATGAAAAATCGATTTGACTCCAAATATTAATGAAGGTGTTTTCAAGACTTCCAATGAGATTACTCAATAACCCCAATTAGAATCAATTTGAAATCTTTGAGGCTTTCTCAGTCTCAATCATCCATACTGAATTTTGGCACCATGAAAGCGTATACAGGGGGGTTATAAATAAAAACAATTAATATATTATATAGTATACGTATAAGTATATACTTCCAACTTCAACATCCTGTATCTCATAAGCTGTGAGTCAAAAAGCGATAAAGCCAGCATCAGCATGTGAACGCCATATTCAACTGTATTACGTCATCTAAAAATAAGAAAAGACATCAGTTTGCATAATATGCAAACATTATATTATAGCATATAGCCAGGAAAGTATTAGTTGTTTTCTATTGAATAAACTGGAAAAGAGTAGATATTCTCATCACATAGAGAATGCGAATTCTCAATGTATTGCTTCATATAAATATATATCCATTTCTGTATGTTCATAATTAATCTGAGAATATTCCTTTTCAACACTTTCATACCCAATCAGGGGGTTCAAACTTGAACGATGGAAACTTGTGATTTTTATATAGACCTCTAATCGCAGATTCGTGAATCGTGATATAGAGTCTCAATTCAGAATTTATTTCCACGCCCTGTATGATGAATGTCAATTTATCATACACCCCAAAAGATTGATCCCAAAAGCATATAAATATGTACTATTTCTATATAATATATGGCGCATCGCCTATACGATATCTAATCAAATATGGGACCAAAATGAGAGTTACTTTTTGAATCTATTAAGGACGGAAAGTGAAGGATGGAAAATTTGAAATTAGTAGCCATATTGTCGTATTATTTTTTCCTTACGTCGGCAAATCTCCATCTCATAAAAAATCTAAATTCTGTTTGTGTTTGTGAATTTTCATACGAATTTTTCTCTTGAAAAATTATATTGAAAAGATTTTGATTTTAGGTGTAATATCATTACAATTAGAAAAACTTCTCTTCACTTCGATAAATTATGCGTATCTTTATTTTTCGAAACCAATTCCTTCATAGACTATTCAATAAATTCGAATGTGGCGGGAAATGGCAGGGAATATTTTTAAGAAATGTGAGATTTTGACAGTTTTCACGTTGGCAACACTGCTTTAGGCTCTCGTCTGACGTCTCGTCCTCGGTCTCGTCCTCGTCTAGTCTCGTCATACGTTCACTATTTACAAACACTTAAATTAGTAATTAGTTCAAATATTTCGAATATCAAATACATACAGACACAAAAATACATAATGGTTTATATTCATTTTCCGGCAAATTTCACGGAGGAAGAACTTATGCTTCAGACAAAATACCAAAAATTGAAGAAAAAAGTAAACACGTTCAATATCTCCAAACTTCAAGAGATACAATCTTAAATATATTTACAGAAGAAAGCCATACAAGCATTGAGGGCCCCCAAACCAGAACCTGAAAAACCTATCATTCCAAAGCGACCAGCCGAAGCCAGAGATGCGAGAGAAGTTGCAAAAAAACTGCTTAAATCTGGTGCAATCCCTGCAATCTCTAAACAACAAAAACAACCAGAGCAAGGCTTCAAACGACCCAGGGGTTTGGAGCGAAAACTTATATCTGATAAAATTGTGAGTGGATACCAACCGTTTTCGGCTGTTCAGATGGAAGATGGGCCAGAAAACCCAGAAAACAAACCACCTAGGATAAAAAATCTGTATGATACTTTTGCCACTGCCCGCGACAGGGAAGAAAGGGGGCTAGGTGAGAAGCAGCAACAGCAAAAACCTGACAAGCCCCGCCAGGGCAATACTATTTATGTATCTGGGTACAAGATCACAGAAGATTTTTTGAAAAAACATTTTTCCACCATTGGGAGCATTATAAATATATCAATGGAGATTGAGAAAAAGTAGGTTATATCAGGTGGTCTTTTGAAATATCAATTAACAGATATTTTTAATTTTTAGTAGAGGATTCATTACTTTTGATAAAGTTGATACAGCTGAAAGAGCAATATCTGAGGTAAGAAGTTGAAATTCCAGTGTTGCAGAAAAAACACTATGTGGGGTCATTTCTGGAATCTTTGACTATATTGGCCACTTATGGTCTGCAGAACCAAAATGGTGGCTAATTAAATTTGAAAACAAAATGTTGATGAAATTAATGGACAAGATTTGATATTTAGTACCTGAGTATGATTTTGAATGTTTCCAGATGGATGGCAGTATGGTTTCAGGTATTCCTTTGAAAGTATCATTGGCAAGAAGACAACCACAGATTGAACCAATCAATGATGCTACCTCTTCTGCTGCTTGGGCAACTTTAGGTAATATTAATGATAATAATAATGGTTTCTTTTGCTTTATCTTCATTCTTCATTGTTCACAGAATGAGCAAAAACAAATTCATTCACCTACTTACCTCTTTCTTATCAACAACTAATTTCATGATGAAATATGTTTATTTTTTTCAGCCTCAAGTCATTCTCAGAAAGGTAACCACAGAGACAAGAGAAATTTGGTAACATATGATGATATGTTTGATTGAGCTGGACATCTGGAAAAGTATGGAAAGGAAAATGTATTTTCAGCTTATGAAATGATTTACAAAATCTTGATAACTGTGGAGAGAATCAGAGAATATTAAATATAATTTAGAGTTTGGATACATTATCATTTTCATCACCCTATGTGTCAAGCAGACTTAATTTTCAAAATCTCAATTTCTTTATTATAATAACTTTTTTCCCATTATGACTAAATATAAACAGGTAGTTTTTTTCTAAAAACCTGGGGCCCTGGGGCACAACAGACAACATAATAATGATATACCTACTAATAGTAGGAGCAGAGAGCCAACTGCATGTCCCAAAGGAAAGTGAAAACATTGTAGTTCATCAAACGGCACCAGTGCCAATCACTATCCTTAGCAAAATGATGAAAAAATTACACTTTCCTGTGCGGAAAATTTGCAGTCGGAAGTCGCGATTTGATAACGAGATAAGAATTATATATGCTGTATAGAATTTTCACCTTTTGCGAATATTCAAACGTGCCGCGATTCAAAGAGCAGTGATTATTTAAGTTTGTGGCACAGCGTCAATATTTCCATATGAATATTTTGCCCTCGTCGAAAGATAATATCCGATGGACCAGTCTGAAATTAACTCATATGTGCGGGGCTCACACTACGAAAGTATTCTGATCCACATGTCAAAAGTTTCACACTGGTCCATCGGATATTATCTTTAGAGGAGGACGAAATATTCTCGGAAGTATTGAAAGCTCTGCCACTATAACCCAAATCAGTTTGAATCGCGGCACGTTTGGATATTCGCAGAGGTGACAGCATTCCATTTTATTTGCTTCTTGTTTCAACTTGTTATCACGTGACGGAAGTATGCCCGGAATAATAGCAGCAAATAAATCGCTGTGCCGTGGATTTGGCTTAGACTGAGGGGTGGCGCAGAGGTAGTTATTTTTTGAAATCTACCATTCAAAATTGGTATCGGATGGCATAATTCTTATCTCGTAATCAAATCGCGAAATCGAGTGCAAATTTCCGCACAGGAGGGTGCCATTTTCTATCATTTTGCTCAGGATAGTACACAATGATGATTCCCTCCATCAGAGATGACTGTCAACATTTGCAGCTGGCTCTTTTGGACCATATAAGTTTTGATTTTTAGTATAAGTACCTATGCTTTTGGAGTGTAGTTTTATGGTTGTATCCATATCTTGAGTTTGATAATCAACATCAGTAATGTAAAAGTAATAGAGGTACCTATATTCAGAATATTTGTGTTGGAGAAAAAGTGTCTGCTCAAATTCACCCTATAGTAAGTATATATATAATTTCGGCAAGACATGTTCCAAGAACAATCTATTTTGAACTCTCAACATAATCAAAAGCTTTGTCTACATGCCATTCAATTTATGAAACTCACCGAATAATCACCTTTCATAACACAGGGGTGAGTCATAAAACTATTTAGACACAGGCTATATAAGGGTAGATTGTTATTTGTAGTAAAATATTGCCGTGGAAAACCATACAGGGCGTTATTTTCAATCGAAAAAGTGTTCATTAAAAACTCGCTCGGCGGTTGCGTGCGTATAACTTTTCCATTCGTGCGTAAAATGCTTCTTACAACACATATTACGTAATATACTGTGAACGGCCTTTTTCTTTTTCCACAGCATCATTTTATTAAGGCATATTTGGTCCTATCACCATATCTTGGTCCAAACAACCCGCCCTTAGCCTATATCCCAATAGTTATGACTCACCCTGTATAACAGATCTTAGAAGCCATGCGATAACAGCGACAGCCTCCTATACTATATGCCAAAACTAGTATACTGTCGTGATACTCGTGACTCATCTCATCTCAGTTTCCTGCATGATCTAAGAATAGCAATCATTCCAGTTGTTTTGACATGCATGACCAACAGAAACATGAGTTCTGTAGTTCTGTGACTTTTCTTCTTCCGGTTGTGCTTTTGCGCAGCGCAGATGCCGTTTGGTTTCGTCACTTTTTGTTCCGTGTTTTCCATTTTCTTTTTGGTAAATTATTTGACGAAACTGTGGTTTAAGCGTCATTTCGTTAAAAAATAGATAGCGTTATTTCTGCTGCTTTTGTGGTTTTTAAATCTTCAATACGTTTTGTAAAAAAGACTTGTGTGTCCTCATATCGTTGGGCGCGAAAATAGAGAGAAGGAAATCCATACAAGGGGGTAATTACATTTTTCTATTCATCCGCCATTATCATGAACTAGCCACTACCGGTATATAGATATTGATTTTCGCATTTCTCGTAAATTTAGGGCGATATCGAATATTTTAGTGATCGTTTTCACAGAAATTGTAAGATATATTTAATCAGGCATAAAATGAACTATCTAATACATTTTTTGGTCATCAGTTCGAAATGGTCAGGGGTGGAAGAGGATACTCCTCATCTAGGAGCTCTTATCGAGGTAGCTCCAACAGGGGCAATTCGTCATGGGGTGGTGGTGGGAGCAGAGGTGGCTATTCTGGTTCCAGTGGCAGGTATTCCTCATTTTCAATGGATTCTCGCAGCCCCTATGATTCCAAGTCCAAGTACTCCAACTCTGATCGATTTTCCAGATCTGATGATTTCCACAAGCCCTACAGATCGGTGAGTTTTTGTTTGAAGTTTTTCACTAGAATATAACTATGAATTTGTATTTGTTATGCTGGGTTTATAGATTCAACTAAACTAAGCATCAAAGTAACAACAAATTATGAACTTGAAACATTGAATCCAAGGAAACATCTATGAGGGTTTATGCATTCACATGTCATTCAAATTAAGAATTACAAAGTTAGCCAACTTTCAACTTAACAACTAACAATTAGGAAATTCTGGAGATAGAACACAAAGAATGGAACTGTAATTGTTCAAGTGGAGTTTGGGGATATTTAATTGGGATATTTTTCACATTGAATTTTTAATTAATATCAGATATGTAAACACCCTCATGATTATTAATTGTTGATTGTTAATTCCTAAATGTTTGTTAGTGTAATTGAATCTATAAACCCAGCATTAACAACTAAGAATTATGAAATTCTGGAGAAGGAGACAGAACATGAAGATTTGATTCTTATTGTTCAAGTGCAGTTTGGTGATAATTGATTGAAATATTTTTTATGGATTGAATTGTGGAGACCAAAATCACTTAAGATCATTTTGATCTATAATCAAAAGACATTTCACATTTGATTCTTAATTCATATCAGATAATAATATGTATAAATACATGATTATTAATTGTTAATTTAATTGAATCTATAAATCCAGCATTGCTCATTGTTAAATGGTTATATTAATACTTATGGTCTGTTCATAGAAATAACTTATATTTAATTTATGTTCAATTTAATTTAATTTTATCATAGAAAATCATTCACAGAAACATAAATATGGTTATTTTCATATTTATATATTGGTAAAACTGATGCTGACCCTCAATGCACATCTTATTTTAGTTATTCTCATTGTTTTTTTTTTTAGTTTTTATTCAATGTTGGTAACAGCTGCCCACAAGGGGCACATGCTCAATTCAATTTATTTTATTGCTCTGAAAATTGAAAAGTAGGCTATCTGATCAGTACTATATAATTAAATGAAAGCAATAAGTGAGATTCTATGTAAGACTGATATTTCAACTATTATGTTGAATATAAATTAAGTGTTGATTAAATATAAATAATTTCTATGAACAGACCATTACTTCTGACACATGAAGACATTTTACATGTTTTACTGAAGGCTCATATTCCTCAGAAATCTGAAATTTTTCATAGAAATCTTATTCATAATGGTGCTAAAATATAATAAATATAATTTTTTTGAATGTTTTTATCATTTAGGCTTTCAATAGTTATTTGTTTAACTAGGCAGCAAGGAAGGAAGCTAGGAATTTAGCACATGAACTTAAAAAAAGTTGTAAAAAGCGTTTCCTGCTTCAAAGATGCAGTTTTTCAAGTTTTTATACCACATTTTCAATAGAACCAAACAACAAGGTGAACTGTCAATATCACAAGTTCCAATCTGAGTTACAATTCAATTTGGCAAGTAGGTATCATTTTGTTATTTTGGCAGTTTCCTTTGGTAGCAATTCCAAATAAAAACTTTAATAATCATTTTTATTTTTGATCATTTGAGTAACTTATTCCTTTCATTGTTAGCTTCCAATTGAAATGTTGTTTTGACCTATACTATGTGCAGTTTGTTATCTGAGAAAAAATACATATTATGTTTCTTTTGATTATAGTACCATTTATTTGTATGAAAACTATTTTGACATGGTAAACAATAAATACTTGAGGTAATGATGGAACTGAACTAACTATCATCTATTGGATATTTTTTTGCCAAGTGACTATAAAATTAGAGTAGGCACAATTTGAAATGTATTTATCAAAACAAATGAGCTCTGATGTATTTTTTGGTTTCATAATCTCATGAATTATCTGACAGTGACAGTATTGTCAAAATAGAATTTGCAACCATTAGTTCCTTATATGATTGAGGAAGCAAGATGCATATTTTCTCTTATTGGGAAAGTTATAGTTTTCCATTCTTAGGGATGACCAATATATCATGAATTTTATGACAAATTGAGAATAGATTCCTTGCAAAGAAAAATGAAAAAGTATCAGGGGAGACAAAAAACAGGGAGCTAAATTTGATATTTTTCCTGTGTATAATACACTATTTTTTTCTGTGACAGAAAAAAGGTCAAATCAATATTGAGAAGATATTACATTATATTTAAATCAGAAAATTATCAACATCTTCTTGCAGACATCTTTATCATTCTTTTGAAGCAATCAAATATCTGTCAGTCTAATTCTGTGATTTGATTTTAAAAAATTGCGAATTTGGTGGTTGTTTAGTTATTTACATAACCATGAAGCAGAATGGGCCATAGAAGGACTTGCAGTTCTTTCTTGGAGATGGTTTTATTGGCTTATTTTTTGAAACTAGCACAACAAAAGCCATCAACAGTGTATGAGTATATATCCGGGAAAAAGTACTCACTTTTTTCCCGTGGGGAGAAAGTAATTTATGAAAGTGACCTGTCAACAGAGATGAAATGTCAAACTTTTTTCCCGTGACAGAAAAAATAAGGTATTTGGAAAAAAGTTCAATAATCTTTTTATTCACAAAGAATCCAACCCCAAATGTTCACCAATATTCAGTCTTGACGCTGATATATCTGATATAATGTCACTATCGGTAGCTACCAACTTCTTTTTGAAATTTATTTCACAAGAAGTAGTATTGGTGAATGAAAAATGATTGACATTTAAAAATGCAAGTTTTTAATCAGGTGGTAGTTTCATCTCCAAAAGTGAATTATTGAATAGTTTCAATTCATGATTGAAGTTTGTCAACTATGATTATTGGTATAATGAACACTATATCAAACTCACCAAACTGATTTTTTGTAATGTATTTGCAGATTTCTGTTCTGAAAGTGTATATATCAGGGGATCTAATTATTCATTGGGCATGAGGTGATTACATATACAGGAATTTTGAAAGGATTACAGCAAAACATAATATGTAGGACAAATTAGGAGAACCGTTCCATTTAGGTTCATCTAGGAACATCTTTGCACATAATACAGACTGACAAAAACGACCCAAGCTTTAACGCCGCTATGCACTATCCTATTTTGAATAATAAAAGTGCAAATGAAATGGCAACAGATTCTTTCAAATCCCAACTGTTCTAGACTGTTCTTTTTTTTAACATACTATACTTATATTATCTTGGTATGTATGTTTGTTGGTTTGTCGGTTTGTTTGTAAACGGAATCTTCGGCCGTGATTTCGAGTGCCACTTCAAAACGTCCGATTGATTTGAAATCTAGTCTTAGACTATTTATATATTGTTGTTGTAGTGTTATTGAGAGGGAAACCTTGTAGGAAAAAGTAATAGTACATTATACACCTAAGGAATGAAGTGGTATTTAAAATCCCTAGACAAAAAGTTTGGTTGGGCTATAATTTGTCAAGGGATTTGGAAACCCTGTAGTCCTAAGGTGTATGTACTAATTTATGCACTTGGTGATAGATAAAACGTTAGAGAGAAAAAAAAACGAAAAAAAAAAGTTGATTTCTACCATATCAACGTCCTCAATAACTATGGTGATCCAGATCATGATTGTCATCGGCAACTGACAATTTTGGTGTGTTATGACAAGTAATTAAGTGAAACATGAATAAATAAGTATTAGTCAAACACGCCACACCGATTGGAAGACGTTGATCGCGATGGAACAAATCGAAAAGGCAGCTCAAGAAGCTGAAGGCCAATTATTTCCAAGAAAATCTGGAGAACAATACGAAAAACAGTTATTTGAGTTCATCAAATGGTGCAAATAACGGAATGTATAAAAATGTACAGAAGAAAAAGTACTGCTAGCACATTTCTTGGAAAATTAAAAAGCTTAAAGCATCTTCATTGTGGAGCGTATATTTGATGATAAAAGCCACAATTGCAACAGTTTGAAAATACATTTCTAAATTTAGATTTTATTGCAACAAAAATTACTTCGAATCCTTAGGGATTTAAAATGTCTTAAAATCCCTAGGGATTTAAAGTACCACATTTTTCCCTGAAAATAGGGAATAATGGTACCCTTTAAATCCCTGAAGTGCATAAACTTGTTTATTAACCCCAAACTTGAGGATACTACAATACTTGGAAAAAGTGCATAAAAAATGAAGAATGGCAAATTTGTGATGTGATTGCTGCAGAGTGCTTAGGCTGCCGGCCGCACGCTCTATAATTATCGCAGTGGCTAACCCGACATCGTCCGGTTATGATCTGATACGACAGTTTGCATAAGTATTATTAATATTATTAGGTACATTATGGGATATTTTATGATCCGTTGATCAACCGATGTTAACGATGCATTCAGGACCGGAACCTACAATTTTGACAGTGGTTATCTACTGGTGGCAACGGTTGTGGTTCATTTACGGAATGCCAGTCATTTGTCAAATCATAGTTTTGATCATTTTTTGAACATTCATGCTCTGCCAGTATTTGATTTTCAATTATGGCTCCCAAAAGTCCCAAATTCTTGTGCACAGTTAGCACAAGCAAAGGATGTAGTGTCCTGAAATAGAAAAAAAAAACGTTATCAAACTGAAAATATATCGAATATTATTAATTTACCTCAGTAAACGAATCCATCAGAACTTAACGCAATTATTAAATTGGAAAAATTGTTTTTCGTTGTAACTTGTGGCAAAGATTACTGAATTCTAGAAGATAGTTCACTTAGTGAAATCCGTTTGTCGGTACAGCCCAACATTGCATTTTTTGCTTTCCTATAAATCATTGCACCGCCAAACGGTTGCGGTCGGTTGACAGCTAATTAGATTGCGATTTCAAAGGCCCCGGCAGTCGTTAGCCGGCAGAATCCAGCGGTCGGCTAGGTTGCGGCGAGATCTCTTAGAAGTCGAAAAATGAACGAGTGAACTGTCTTATAGTTTATCTTCTGTAGTCTATGCTTGTGGGTCAAAGAATCTAACCGAAAACTAAAACACGTCAACGTCAACACCGCTTTTTCGGCAACAGAGGTCTGTAAATAACCGTTTTTAGGAAAGTAGGGTCCCTTGATGGAAATTGTCGTTAAAGTCATCTTAACAGGGTACGGACAGATCATAGCTGCATTCTTTTTTAATGATCTAGAGATTTTAGTTTTGTCTACTGGTATCCCTGACATTGCTGTCACGTCACATCCATGGGCGCTACAGAAAATCATTCAAAATTTCAATAATAGGTATGTACAGGGTATTTACTTGTTGAGGAATATCATAAATATGCCGAACGAGTTTTGAAATAATGATCCGATTCTATTCAAAATTGAAAGGTATGTGGGGTTTTCCGGGGTTGTAGATGATGATTGTTTCGTCAAACTTGGAAAATTCAAGATGACGGATCCAATATACAGCAAAAGAAATTTCTAATTATGATCTGATTCTATTTAAGATTGGTATCTGAGGGTATTTGGGGTCGAACTTTATGATTTTTTGTCAAAATTGGGAAATGCAAGATAGCGGATCCAATATGGCGAACGAAACTTGTGATTATAATCCTATTCTATTCAAAAAATCAAAATTGGTAACTGGGGATTTCCGGGTCCGGGGTCGGAGATTATTATTATTTCGTCAAAATTGGGATATTCAAGATGGCGGATCCAATATGGTGGACGAGTTTTGTAATGAAGATCCGATTCTATTCAAAATTGGTATCGTGCCTACCGGCGACAATAGTGGCACATCTCAGAAAAATATAAAACATCTCAAAACACGTGAAACAATTTAAAATTTGATGAAGTGCCATCGATGAATACTGGAATAAAATTAGTTCAGATAGTCTTTTCGAGACTACAAGTTACCACGTGCTGAGCCCCTTAAGTTGTATTAATACCGGTATATTTTCAGTGTGCCGTTGACTCTGCTTCGTAATGTTTGAGCAATAGTGACACATTCAAGAAGTAGCAACGATTTCGTTTCAGCATTAGTGGCACATTTTGAGATATGCCACTATAACTATGTGTTTCCTGTTATTTTAGTCAAATGTGCCAGTATGCTAAATACGTTTGGTTTGCATATTTTATTGGTTACGGTAATTTCTGGTATTTTCCCATAAAGCAATGGTTTGTTTGGTACATTTTCGTTATATTTAAAGATAACTTGGAAGTGTTCATTACACGTTTCATGAATTTTCATCCAAACTGTATAGTTTCGTTTCAACAATAATGGCACATCTTACAAACTTCACCTCTTTTGTAACAAAAAAATAACTCAACAATCCCCAATGATTATGCATATGATAACTCACTAATTATCACAGGCAAGTCCATGAATTATATTCAAATGTTATTACAACACGCGAAATTGAGATAGCTCAAACTTCAACCGCAGTTTTCTCCATAACATTCGATTTTGAGTTGTGCCAAATTGGTTCATATTATATCGATCTATCTCTGTCCAAAATTTGGTGCCTTTATCAAAAAGTGCACAAATACTCAAGCTTCTGCCGCACTACATTAAAAAATCAGTTTGGTGAGCGATGATGTACCAATATTCTACAAAAAACGTAACGAATTTGTATCAACTCACAGGATTCCAGCTACATGGGTCGCGATAGCCGCAGATCTCCTGACCGCAAGAGGCAGAGACTAGAGGTAAGTCAACCATAACTAGCTAGTTTTTTTCTACAGGTGACATTAAAAGCGAACAGAAACAAGAACTCTCACCTCACAAACGAACAAAGAAATAAAGAACACTTCCAAGGATTTTCGGCAAAGGAACAAAGATGAGAACAACAAGAACAGAAAAGAAAGTAACGGAGACATAGAGGGACCATGGAATGTATAAAATATAATAGCGACCTCACGCTCCCAATAGAGGGAACGGCGAGAGACAATGAAACAATAAAAAAAAAACAAAACGTATCATGTGTTCCTTAATTATGTTGTCCAGGCTTCGAGTTCGAGACACGATAGCTCGTTCGGCAGTTACGGAAGCGGAAGCGGCAGACACGACCAATCGTCGAGCTACAGGCGCGGCGGCTTCCCGGGCTCCTCCGACCGCCATTCGTCCACGCCCTATTCAAGGCGGAGCGACGATTTCCGCCGGCCAATGGGCCGCGGCGGGCCGTACAGGGGCCGGCCCAACTCGAGGGGCGTGCGCGGTTCGCGCGGCATGCGCGGAGGGGCGGGGCGTGACCGGCCAATGAGAAGGCCGCTGTTGGATAGCTCGTACGGGATAAGGAAGCGCATCGTGCCTAGTCGAGCCACCGACTACAGCAGGAAGCTAAAGATATCGAGGCTGCGGAGGTAAATAGAACATACACACGTTTTTTGTCTTCTCTCGAAGGGAGTGCCGTTCTGCTCGAGTAGAGGGGAGTTTGCAGCGACGGTATTGGTGAATATTTCGAGGTGTTTTGGCGGCTGTTGATCGGTGGGAAGCTCAGAGCTATGAAAGATATAGAGATGCCTTGTTTATCCCGAAAATACACATTGTTTTGACTCCCACATGCATCTATACTTTTCCAGTGATTTTATAGCAAAAGGGGTGGAAGCTGTTTTGACTCCCACATGCATCTATACTTTTCCAGTGATTCCATAGCAAAAGGGGTGGAAGCAACCTTGGAGGGAGGTGAATAAATATTAACAAATTAGAGAAACCAGGGCGGAGAAACTCGATGCTAGATAATCTTAACTGATCATTATCTTCAAAAGTGACAGAAAATGCATCTCTATTTGAGAAAATCAAAGAGGAATTCAAAGAACAGGTATAAACGACAACGATCGATGACATCCGAGATCTGCTAATCTGGCCAAAGAAGCTAGAATGTTAACAAATGATCAAAGTTGTGAATAAACAAGCGCATCATGTTCTTTTCAAGACAAGGATAAATAAGGCATCTTTAGGTCTTTTATTGCACTGCGGTAGTATGCCATGGAATTGGTGCAAAGAGATATGTGAAATAAGTACGAGAAACTGCAAGTATTTGGAGAATATATTACTGAAAGAGGAAATTACATGACCCTAGTATGAATATCATGGTTGAAGAAATCATGTTTATTCCCGTGACATTTCCTACAGTCAGAACTGATCGGAAATATTCAAGGAATTGGCATAGAACATAATATATACTCCATAGGAACTATGAGACTTTATACTGAATGTAGATCAAGGAATTTATGCAACACATTTGGGAATCAGTTATAAAAATTCAAAGGGTCACTATGAAATGATACAGATAAATCAGGTATTCCATAACAGCAAAGCATAGACACAACTGTCAAAATATTCATCTTACAGTTACTATGTTCTAAAATGTATTACATTTCTCTCAGTCTACACTTCTAGTTTCAACAATCAAAAAGTGTCTACTGAATAAGAAGATTCAGGGAATTTCTCGAATTCCAAATACTTCGTAAAAGAAGATTTTATGATAATATTAACTCATCCCACTTAATTTTGAATGAAAAAATAACAAAAGTTTGTACGAATGGAAAGAAATCAGTGAGTTTTTGGAACCAAAACCCTTGAGAATATTGACGAATATACCAGGAAAATCTATTTCTTTAAGGTAGAAATGTGATGGCACTATTCGGAAAAAAAATCGCTTACAGTTCTATATTTCTACTAGTTACCTTTTCCATGTTTTACATTGTGGAAGTTCGTACTGACTGTACAGGTTCAAGGGATTTCGAGAGACTGTGAGAAAGATATCCTTAAGAGAGATGATAACTGTGATGACACAAAGACACATTCAACTGTGTTTTGAATAAATTCCAAGTTGTATCCAAGAATCTATTGAATTTGTTCCAGTTACAAAATGATTTTGTACTGATTGTAAAGTATGAAGAAGTTTCAATTAAATTATAGAAGACCCTATGAATCAGTTATTTGAGTTTTAGAAGTTTTGATATATTTTCAGTGTGAAACGTAACAAAACTCAAGTGTCAGAAAAATATATTTCTGAGAAACAAATTTTCATGAAACAATCAGAGAAATAATTCATTTAATCATATTTCTTCTAGTATTATACAAGTCACTGTGCTTCAAATTCTCAGATGCAATCCCCTTTCAGTTAGAATCACATTTTTATATTATAGAAACGATGAGAGAAACTCCCAAAAAATCTGGAATAATGATATTTCTTCTATTCAAAATAACTGTATCTCACAACTGAAGAATTCAACTGAATGTGGAAAACCAACTAATGTCTAAAACACACATGAATCAGTTATGGACAGTTATGGAAATTTTGAATTGACTCGCCCGTTACTTGATGGAAATCCATAGCAAATGTAAAAACTTCACAAACGATAAGATTTCCACAAGATTCCTGAGAATTTACATTAGTTATGGAAGTGCTTAGATATTATTTTGCTGAAAAATAAATCATAAAGGCAGAACTGGAGTCCTAGAGTAATCATATTTCTTCCAGATTACATCTGAGAAGACTAAACATTCTTGAGGTGCCGAAAATATTTCCCTTGAACAAGAAATTGTAAAGATACAGATTTAATTGATGATAAATGTCGTATAGGGAACGAACTGGTGATGATTTCAGAAAATACCTTGTAATATGAGACTTGCTTTGATCAAGATGGGATACAATTATCCATAATAACAGACTGATGTTTATCTGTAAATACATCCATCAGAGCATTATGATGATTTGTTGTATCATATTCACCTGCAATTGGTATCCATTGTTCAAATGGTGCAGGATATTCCACTTTTTCCCAAATATACTGATAACAGCACCAAAAACCTCGGAATATTTATGGCAATTACGATAATTTGATACAAAATATATTGAGAAGCATGCTGCATAAACAGTTGATAAACCTAAATATAAACTATTAATGAGTTTCAAAAATTTGTAGTACTTGTTGATAGATAACAAGTTTCTAGCAGGACAATGCTAAAATATAATCAGAGAGATCCACTGAACAAATATTTATGACCCTGGGAGTATTTCTAACCTTAAAAAAAAGGAACATTCGCCATGAACTACTTTGATGAATAGAAGTTGTAACTTGGCAGGCATGAGAAACGAGAAAGTTGATATATTTTATTGAACCCGATGAGGGATAACGAATATTTGAGAAAGACAAGAATTTATGTGATATATATTGGTGTTCAAACACACCAATATTGGTGTTCAAACACACCATAACCATTTAGTCCAGTGCCTATTTCAGCTGTCTCATCGACATGAAGATAAAGGAATGACAGGCTGTCAAGGATGTCTCTTCGAACGGCTGCTTGACTGGTGAATAGTCCTTCTTATGCAAAACATGGTCATTTTTATATTTACACAATGATGGTAGTAATTTTTGAAAAATAATCGGAATGAATGTCTCCAGATCAACCAGTTCGGGGCAAATGTTCTGGAACGGTGATATATCTCAGGAACAGTTTTTTTATTCCCTTGAACAATTAATCCTGATGAAATAAGGGTCGTGATTCATGTTGATGGGGAAGTTCAGCTAGCATTGAGAGAGGGAAAATATGTCTTCCCATCTATCCTTGTCTTCAGGGTTCCAAATAATGAAAATTTCATGTTGGCAATACTGGAAATGGAAAGAAATGAGATCATTCTAACCTCTTATATTTTGGTTAATATAGTTTTTTCCCCATTTCTTCTCATTTCTAGTATTTTCAACATTGAATTCCCATCATTTTACGTTGGACCACTGAAGACAAGGACAGATGCAGAAGACATATTTTCTTTCTCTCCAAGGGAACCGAACTTCTCTATTGTCTAACTGTGATGGTCAGCCCAATATATTTCAATTGATAGGTTAACCGAATTTATCTGAAGATCCTGATCTCACTGTTGAAACAAATATCTATTTCAGTGTCAGTTAATGGTCCTGTTTTTTTGTCAGTTTGAGTATTGTCTAACTGTGATGGTCAGCCCCATATATTTCAAGTGATAGGTTAACCGAATTTATCTGAAGATCCTGATCTCACTGTTGAAACAAATATCTGTGTCAGTGTCAGTTAATGGTCCTGTTTTTTGTCAGTTTGAGTTTGAATATATTGTTATAATTTTTGTTTATGTATTCGTTAAAATTCGAATATCTGACTAAGCTAACCCAGTTCATTGAGTTTCAAAACCCGACCAGATAGAGACCAGTCGAGAACGAGAAAAGGCTGTTAATGAACTCTAACCCAACTCGATTCCCGATAAACACGAAAGATTGAAGGTTAATCGCCCTTAGCTCGCTATTATTGCACATTGGTCTGACACATGACTGTTACAGGCTTTTAATACATTTTTGTTTGTTGATTGATGAAACAATGTTACGAAATTATCGGGAAATACTTACAGTCTGTTATTTTTTTTTCAACACTATCCCTCATGGAATATGACTGTAAAGTCAGAAAGATCACAAATATATACAGTACATTGACTTAGACTTGTTCTGCATTAGAAGGACTAGATAAATGAGACAAAAAATTCGAGTGGGTAGTTTATAAATTTGATGTATTCTGATTTCACAAACATCTCGTTAATTTTTTCCACCATTATTGTCATTATATTGTTCATTTATATAGTAGTTAGAACATTAATAAGTATGTTGACGAATTTTGGGAAGTTATCTTTATTTTTCATAAAATTGTTAGTAGGTATTGAATTAGTTGTCCCGAAAAACAGCCACTATTTATTTCATTCTCAGTTCTACTGAGGAAATAGGTATATATGCTTTTCTGAAAATCATTGTGGTATTTTGGATATATATTTTTAATTCGATGAAAAAATAACGCGAAAAAGACAACAATTGGAAGATATTTTCTATAATGCACGACTTATGGCTGCCTAATGGTCGTTTTCGTTAGCCACACATTTCGGTTTTGCGTCATTTTTGTTCGACCATACTTGTTCGACGAACTAAACAGTCCCCTAACAACGCAGTATATAGGAGTCAGCAAGGCAGCAAGCGAACAAACCAAGGCGGCTGATTTCGTATTTCGTATGGAGTGCCAGTGAAATAAAAAAGGGAGCGGGTAGAAGGTGCCACGATATCCTCACGTATTCGCGATAGAAAATATCACGTCGCTCCACAGGACGGCAGCAACTAGAACACTTCTGTGCGGTTTGTTTTGATGCTATGACCAATAAGCACCAACATAAAACAAATGTGAACAAATGAAATCAAAGTAAACATGCCGCTTTGACGGCTTTCAAGAACTCCGATAGGTGGCGTACGCTTATTTTCTATCGCGAATTAGATAATATGCTCGCATCTCATGTATGTAGCCAATATTATCCACATCAATATAGTTCTGAATGAAAACCTAGTAGGCGAGGTATAATATTTCGTGTTTCTGTCAAGATTCATCTATCTGTCAAGTTTGTGATCAAGAATTTCTCATGTTGAAACATTTTGAGTATGAACTATGTTCATACTCATGAAAAAAGTTTGATGAAAGCAGCATGCATAACGAAAAAAAAACATTGTTGATGCAATGATGAGATTGTACGATTTATTGATGCTATTTGAATATGAGTAGGAACTGGATACTCATCATTGCTATGATCTGATGGCATGCAAACTAAGAATATAAAGGTAAGGACTGCTTATTCACCTTTATATTGTTGATTACTTTGCCATCACTCCAAAAATCACACCAACATTATGTAGTTCATCTGAGAAACAAAAATTTTGAATAATAAGTGATCTAGCATTGAGGAGGAAAATGCCAGTAGGGTGACTATTGAAACATAATGAATATCTTCACATCTGAAATGAGGAATGTAGAAGCAAGAAGATTAGACTCAATTGTGTTCTTGGTCATAAAAATTTTGCTTCTTATGTAAAATAATTATATATAGGGCTGTATAGCTTAGTTCAATTGACCTTTGTACTTTATTAGCGCAATAAAGATAAGTCGTCGGTCCGTTTGAAACTCAAACATAAGAAAAAATTAGGTACGGTTATAAAAAAAAATAGATGATGAATCCAACTTGAAATTGTCCATAATGAACTATTGCAATTTTTTAGTAGACCAGCGCCATTGACAGGTAGACATATTTTGGGTCAGTGAACCATCTCAGAAGTTTCTATCAATACAAGAGAAATAGTATATTCTTTTCACAACGCGCTTCAATTACGGTAATATCAATCTGTTAACACAACATTCCGATAAGGGAGGTAACATTTTTGCCAGTTGTTGTTAAATTAGAATTGAGCCCATTTGTGAACATCCCACTTGAATTTTTGTCTATTATACCTCAACAGTTACGTACCTTTTTGCGAAGTTCAACTGCCGATATTAGTGTCGATTGATGGAGCTGTTTTTGTATGATTGTGGATCATCGTGAAGGTAACATATTTTATTATCGCTGCGCTCACAAGATGTTTTTGCGGCGATTGAGGCAATACAGTTCGAAATGAATTCAAACTCAGTTGATTTTTCTCTATTTATTCTTGATTGATATGTTTTTGTTTTCTATCGATAATAATGTTATTTAGTGTGAATTTTTATCATTTTATATATTTTGTTAGTCTGTTTATTCATGAATGCCAAAGTAAAAACATTACTTCCTAATATTTTTGTCCCGTTTCGTCCATTTTGTCCACACCGAGAGGACATTTTCCAAATTGGACGAACTTTATTTTGTCCATTCAGTCAAATCCGCCATGGTAGAGATTTTGATTTTTTTCCACCTCATACTCCACCTTATCGTTGTGAGAATGAAAATGTTTGATATCCTATATAATTGAAAAGGACTATTACTGAGTTTTTCAAATTATTCTCTAAGAATGACTGGCAAAGTCTCAAAATTTCAGAATGATGCTCATTGATGTTATTAAATGTATGATACTGATATCTCAGGAATCAGGAGAGGATTCTTTATTAAATGCACTATTCAAGAATCAATGTTCACTTTATTGTGATCCTCTTATAATCTACAATCTTGTCTATCTACTCCACCTCGTCCCGTCCCCCGCTGTTCTGTCGTGTCTCCTACCCCGACTGCCTTGACACATAGGACCTTACCTAGATACACCACAGAACTTAAGGTTACGACTTAGACATCTATACCCTATGATACAATAATAATAATTATAATATCTATACCCTATAATAATCTCGATGAGTGTCTTCAGATCACCCATATTACAATCTGAAGGTAAACCAGAATTTCATTACATTCCAACGAGTACAACACATTGTTGAATTTTTTTGTATTATAAACCGGACCACCCTGTATAATGTGATTTCTATGAGACGAACTCGACAGGCCCAGTCCACTCATCCCTTCGTCTATATGGAATTATTCCCAAGAACTTGAAACCTCCGAAATTAAGAAAAATCGAACCTATCTCCTCTCCCTATAGGTACGCACGATGTTCCACGAACATTATAGGAATTTCCTTTCGTGCGCTCCAAGAGATAAAAAAAAATATATTTCTCAACGATCTATCCCATCACTTTATTGATTCCTAAAAATATCTCGAGCTTCTCCGCTCGACGTCGACCGACTTCGACCTCGTTTCGACCTGTTACGCCTCGATCGCCGACGTGCGTGCGCGCGCATCAATCGACCGCCCCTCCACTACCCACACACACTCACCCCCACTCTCTTCCCTCGTGTGTAGCGCCATCGTGGCCCGTCGGGCGGCCGACAGGGGCAGCAGCGACAAGGAGGATTCCGACGAGGAGGACAAGCCGAAAGAGAAGGCTGATAAGAGCGAGGAGGACAAGAACGAGGAGGAGAAGGGGGAGGGCGACAGCAGTTCGAAGAAGGCGGAGGCTGATAAGGCGGAGAGCGTGGAGGAGGAGGAAGAGAGGAGACGTAGGAAGCGGACGTTCATCAAGCTGGTGTGCCCGCACTGTTCGGTGAAGGTGATCACGTTCAGGAAGTACGAGATGCATCTGATGAGCCGGAACCATGTGATCGCCATGAGGAAGGTACGTTGACGCTATTGCTATTGCGAGTGAACCGATTTTTTTTTATCTTGGCGCCGATTTCATAATGAGATACAAATAGCTCGGTTTTGTTGAATGATCCTTTCAGTTGAAGCGCTATTCAAATACTTTTTTTTATATATATACTGATGATTTGTATTTTAACTGAATGGCCATTTGATGAGACTGAGAAAAACTGAAAAACGCTCTAGGATATAGAAATGCTTCACCCGAGGTATATCGTTACCGCCGATACTACAAGGCCTGCAGGCTCCGTGGTGACGTCACCACAGCGGCTATAAGGCGACCGCGTATTTCAATTTAAGTTTCAGATCATTATTGAGCCGATTTTGCTGATTTTTTGAAGGGCTTCCAATTAAAAGAGGATGCCAGTCGTCAACTGAGCCCTTCTTCGCATCCCCTTCGATTTTATTATGGCAAAACGAAGTTTCAAAGCAAAAACCAGAATAAAACATAAAATACCCTACCTACTGCAACGCATTCGGATTAAATATATTGGCAAAAATTTTAGTGATTTAATCTCATTAGTAGTAAACTTCACACCTACTTATACAGGGCCCGCAAAACATAAACTTTGAGATTGTTCGAAAGAAAATTAGGGAAAATGTATTTTATTTTGATAGACATGCCGTGTGTTATAATCACCTATATTTATCTTGGAGAATTCCTATTATCTAAAAAATTAGCCAGTGGGTGTTTTCAATTTCCTGTTGTTGGATTTTTAACCCATTTGATCGTTAGACTTGAAACAGATTTTTAAGTATAGTGTTTGTAGTACATGTTAATATGATAGTTGCAATTTGATCATTGGAATGAATTCTGCATTCATTGCCACGAGGCAAATGACCGTTTTCAGAAAGAAATTTGAGAATGTATTGAGTTGAAAATGCCCGTTTATTATGAACATTCAAAAATATTTCCTCGAATTCATAGATGATTTTTTGAATATAATATACGAATACAAAACTAACTGCTCATTCAAAGCTTGCGGATAGAGTTATTTTCCTCTACTCCTACTTTTTATGAGGGAATAATTGTCTTCTATTATCAATTCATCATTATAAATTAAGTTCTGTTTACATAATTCGCACTGAAAGAGCATTTTTTCCGATTCATACAATTATTGTTGAATAGATATGAAATATTGTCCACCTGAAAATTGTCGATATTTCCCGAACCTATATTCCAAATCATCTGTGAAATTCTCCTAGTAAAACATAATTCATCTTGAGTCCGTTAAAACAATATTGTATATCTGTCATTCCATATATAGTGTGAATCAAAGCAGTATGTGTTTGGTTTGTTAGTTTATTAGTAAAATTTGCAGATTTCCAAATTTCTAACCAATCGTATCATTTTATGAAAGAAAATGAATTTTTCATCGGAACAAAAATTTATAGCTTTGATAGGTTCTTGAAACACATCATTCAAACGTTTGCCCTTGAGGGGCACAATTTTCCACCACTTGAGTATCAGGTTGATGAATCCAGCAGTGCCTTTAGAGTTCTCAATGTTTGATCCAAATTTCAAAAGAGTCTGTACTATGGAATCATTGAAAATTTTGAGAGCCAAAGCGACGTTTTGTCTTTCCATATTCGAGAGAAATAGCGCCTTCAGTTTCAACGAATATCCAAATTTTAATAATTTATCATGTTCTAGTTCGTGAAGGGTTTTTGAACTATGAAAACAAGCAACTCTTTCAACCCCTGTTTCAAAATCGGAATAATTCAATTTCTGATCTGGTTTTGAATTTGGCCAAATATTCCTCATGCATTTCAACAAATGTACAGAATCGTAAAAATGAAAAAGAGGGCGTGATGTATCTGCAGGATGAGGCTAAACAATACTGAGTTTTGGATTTTCTGCAAGATTACTCATAGTTTTACTGTTGACAGCATTATTGTCACTGATAATACAATACTCTGTAATCAATTTCCTCTGATTTATAACTCTCTTTATTAAAGGAAAAATCATGAGGTGATCTATTTCTGATGTTGGACTTCTTTCACATTTGACATAACGCTTGCTATCATGAAGACAAACGCGGAATTTGCTAAACATGCATTATTAAATGCCATTCCTACAATATTGCCTGCCTTGTAATCTAAATATGGCTTTATATGAACTTCATCCATCATTAAAATGACATATTGTTTACGTTCACCTAATAACTTACTACATGTCGATTTGACTGTAAATGGATGAGGTAATAGGAGTACTCTAAAATGTCTTAGAAATTTTTGAGCATGTGGACTTATTGTATAAATTATGGAGGCTAAATTTATGGTATTATTCGAATGATGATATATTTCTTTGCAGGATGTATGTAATTTAATTTTCTCAGAGAGGAACGATAAAGCTGAAGTGTTTTCGAAATCTTCATCAAGATGACCAAAGTATTTCGCGCCCGAGTTGCAAACAAAATTTTTTTACAAACGTCAAAAAATCATGAATATTTCATACAACAGTCGTGGATGAATAAAAATTATAACCACCCTCGTCCCCCCTTGTTCTCTCTCAGGTGGCCATCAAACAAAAGGGCATCCTGGCGCAGATGCGGCAAGCGCAACGGAACGCGCAGAACGAGATGGAGAAGAACGGCGACTCGCTGATCACCAAGATGACCAACTTCTGTCCGTTGTGCAAGCTCAACTACAAGACGAAGAAGGCGGTGCACCAGCTGAGCGAGTCGCACAAGAACATGAAGAAATTTTTGATGCCCTTCTGCAAGGTGTGCAACATCACGTTCAAGAGCCCGATGATCTACGAGAACCATTGCTGTTCCATCGATCACATCAAGGTGAGTGACATAAGAATAATATTTATACAGTGTGTCCTGCTTTTCATGAATACTCCCTGATATCTCAGTTGATAATTATTATGTTATTCTCTTGAAATTTCAGTGGTGATTGTATGTTAGAACAATGAATTATTTAGCAGAGTGAATAGTTTTATTCACCATTGGCGTGCAATATTGAGGGGCACAAAAAAGCCATTATTCGGAAAAAGGATATTAGGGCTTATTTCAAATAACTGTTTTTATTAGATACAGAATCGGCATCCCCAAAAACCCCCAATTCATATTTTCAAAATCTCAAGAAAAATTCAAAATCCCGCTTTCCATGACCACGCCCCAAAATCTCAGTTATTAATGATGCGATTCTCTCCAAACTGTGATGGTGATTGTATGTTATTTTTTCAACATACGATCACCTGAAATATTATTACTAATGAATTTATCTGTTGATATCATGTCACTACAATAACTCAAATATCTCGAAAACGGTTAAAATACCCACCAAGAGCATCATCTGGTATACAGATGGCTTCAGGATGGAAGAATGCGCAGGTGCTGGGGTCTATGGGCAGTCCCCAAGGGCAAATCATTACTTCACCCTTGGGAAACATGCCACGATTTTTCAGGCTGAAGTATTTGCAATACTTGCATGTGTTCGAGAGAATATCGAGAGGGGCTATCCCAGCCAGCAAATCACTATATGCACTGACAGCCAGGCGGCGATCAAGGCGCTCACCTCGTATAGGGTGACCTCCGCCTTGGTGTCAGAGTGCATAGATAGCCTACAAAGGCTGTCAGCAACGAACAAAGTATGTCTTCTGTGGGTCCCAGGTAACGAAATGGCCGATGGTCTGGCCAGGAAGGGGGCGAAGGGTTCAGTGATTGGTCCAGACCCAATCATAGGGGTTACTCGATTCTGGAGCAACTCCAGGATGAAGAGAATTCTGACGAAAAGGTTTCAGGACAGCTGGAGAGAGGCTCCTGGAATGAGGCAGTCCAAACTCCATATAGGAAACCCATCACGAAGACAGACCAATGCCCTCTTGGCTTTGAACAGGAAGGAGCTGAAACTGGTGGTGGGCCTTCTGACAGGGCACTGCCACTTGAACAAGCATCTCAGCACAATCGGGATTGTGGAGGATCCTGAATGCAGATGGTGCCTACAGGATGAAGAGACTTCTACTCACATCCTCACTGAATGCCCGGCAGTAGCTGCAGCAAGGGATATCCATTTTGGGGGCAGTATCCTGGACCCAGAGGATGTTAAAAAAATTTGGCCTAGAAATTTGGTCTCTTTTGCTCGCGAGATCGGCCTTCTCCATGGCTAACTTGCGATCCCAGGAATGTGGGTGCACAATGGGCCCGAAAAGGGAGGCCTAAGTGCGTCAGGTCCCGGACCGCCCACACACATACATACATACATACATACATACAAGGGTTAAAATTTTTGTTTTACGATAAGAGTATCGTTCTTATGTAATTTTTTTCGCTCTATCAAATGCTTCTATTTTTTTACCAAAAAGAATAGGAGGAAAAAAATCATGACACACAATTTGAACACACTTTATAACAATTTCAGAAATGTAAAAGTGTTTTTGAAAAATGTATCTTATCAACATACATTTATGCAGGAAATATCAATCTGGTGGTTTTAACCGTTTAGAGGTTATGCGGAAACATTATATTAATTTGATCAACTTTGGAAGGATACATCTATGAAATTGTATTACTTGTTGTAGTAAGGATAAATCAGATGATTTGCCCCAAAATGTCATTGTGTTTAGAAACCTGACAGGAATTCAATAGCCAGTGACATCTTGCATGAAGAATGTTTGAAGAATGAAATAGGTAGATGGAAGGAAGAATGTGAAATTCCATCTTTGGACTTTTCGGAAATGAATTTGCTCCCGTTTTCAACAATAATGAAAAAGATATTGATGTGTTGATATTATAATATTCAGAATATTAACAAACGAAGGCTTTAGTACACAGTCTTTATTACGAGCAAATTCTCAAACGTTTTCGGCTACAAGCCATCATCAGGAGTAATTTCTGAAAATGAATGAAGATTAGAAAATCTAAATTGAAGTTAGTAATGGGTTAATAAATTTGATAAATTTTAATAAAGTTCTACTCACTTGTCAGAAAGTTTTTACAAAAGATTAAAGCACAACACTGGAAAATTCAAGTTTTTCGAGAAAACCAAGTACATTGTTTTAAATTGAATAAAATAAAATGAAAGAAAAGCAATTTTACATGTACTCTTACATTTTCGGCGGGACGACTGAATGAATGAGGTTACAGTTATAGGCATATGACATCTAGACGTTTACGGAGAACGGGAAATAGGATCATTTTGAAAGTTTGGTTGAAAATTCTTGATTTTGAACACCTTATATATCTGTAATCATTCCTGCTAGACCCCAAATGTGATACATTGATGACATCAGCTCTTCAGGGAGAATCTAAAATTGCAATGAAGTACAAGGTGTTCCATTTGAAATAACAAAGTTGCTACTTCTTTCTGATACAAGCGGCAACATTGGATTGTTGAAAACGTTTTAGACGGATAGATAATGCTCGATTATCGATGCTTTCCAATTTTTAGGATGATCTGTCTCCGTTCTCCGGATACTTCTAATGCGCCATCCACCATGATATGTTTTTTTTTTCTAGCGCAAGCAGAGAATGGAAAACAGCGATGGATCTGGTGAGGAAGAGTTGGAGTTGGAGAATTTCACCACAATCGATTCTGTCGGCGATGTAGATGGAGATGGTAAGCGGATAAAAATTCATAAAGTCGTACTATCGAGATACAAGGTGTCTCGTGGAGACCACGTCAAAACTACTATGAAGAAATCTCTATTATAAAAGTCATAGAGTATAAAACTTGACATGGACATAACCAAAATATTTCAAAATTTTCAAGAATAAATGAATGAATCATGCAGAACTAATTTATAATATTCAATATGAACTACAAGTAACAAGAGTAAAATCTGAGGAAATTCAACTTCAATTATCATTAATCCCTCCCAACAACCGCGTTATGAAGATTTCAGATTATCCGTAAATTACTGTACTGAACTCAAATAAACTTAAGTTCTCCATGTTCCAATATGGAAGTCAAAACAGCACCGGACGACTACAAACAGTCTATTAACGTCGGCATCGAGCATATCGGCAAGATCGAGGCGCAATATTGCGACCTGTTCAAGATCTTGCTGATCTGCTCCATGCCTGAAGCTGACAGGTTTTTTGTAGTCACCTTCATATTAGTAGTTTATGTCAGTGTGAGAAATGTTAATTCCTTTATATAGACAGTATTTAAACCTAATATCACAATTGAACAAAATTCGCCTGGTTCCGACGCGGAAGAAAGAACCGGTCAACGTTGGCATGGAGCAGATCTACAAGATCGAGGTGCACTTCTACAGCCTGCGCAAGATCTTGCGGATCTGCTCGATGCCGAAGTTGGCAAGTTGTTTGGAGGCGTCTTCGTCTCGATATTAGTATATGTCAGTGGGAGGCATGCATATTTCATCATACAGACGGTATAAAAACCCTGTATTCGACTCGGATGAACAAAATTCGCGGTTCTGATGCGGAAGTGGAAATAGAAGCAGCCGATCAATATCAGCAACGAGCAGATCCGCAAGATTTAGGAGCAGTAATGCAAACTGTGCAAGATCTTGCGGATTTGTTAGGTGCCTGAAGTTGACAGGTTGTTTGTACTGTTTGTAGTCATCTTCGTTTTAGATGGCAAATTATGTTAGTGGGAGAGATATAGAGGCAGGCCCCTGAGGGGAATACCTTATGACCATCAGAAAGTGTCTTCTCCTCTTCTTCACTAATATATTGGGTGAATTATGGGATTTGGCAAAAATATCTTATTGGTAACTTTCCTACAGCTTCTTCGATTTGTCTTATTTTTTCATGAAATATTCTGCTGCTACTATTTAATAGGGAAAATCCAGGACCGTTCCTGAAACATTTTGCTACTTCAATTTATATCCAAAAGTTTATCCTGTATATGGTTTTTGTGAACTGTGACAGGAAATATTCAGAGGTCACAAACGAACATCAAACATAAAATATTCAAAAATTTTCTCACACTTTCACAGATAAAACGAAATTTTGGCAACAAATTCATTCATTTGAAAATTAATACTTCGCAACGCATAAATTTCACAAATGAAAGTAAGACTTACATTCTCAATATTTTAGCTCAATGGAAATCAACATGTTCTTTTATTTCCAGGCCTGGAATTTGTCACTTAATTTCATTGTGGAGGGTATAATAATCACCCTGTAGATCTTTTACGAATCAGTGGATGGGGGTTATCTGTATGAATGTTGATGATGGCCATCGATTTGAATAATTTTATGATTATTAATTCTCAATTTTATCGATTCGATTTGTTTTATCCTGTTATTTTGGTCACTTATTTGCTGAACAGAAGAATAGTCATTATTATCCTTTATTATAGAATTCTTTAAAAAAATTGTGGATAAACCCCCATTTTCTGATTGACTTTCTAGAATCATTTGAATCGATCGACATTAATATCCATACAGATACCCCATCCACTGATTCCAAAAAGATCTAGAGGATGATTATTATACCCTCCACAAAAAAATAAAATGAAGAAATCCAGGCCTGGAAATCAAATAACATGTTGATTTCCATTGAGCTAAAGTATTGAAAATGTCAGTCTTACTTATCGTGCTTATGCGTTGCAAAGTATTTATTTTCAAATTTATGTATTTGTTGCAAAAATATCGTCTTTTCTTAGAATGAATCGTTTTTTTTTTAAATTGTGTGAAACTTTGAGAAAAATTTCGGATATTTCATTTCCGATGTGTGTTTGTGACCTTCGAATTTTCCATGTCACATTTTACAAAAACCATATACAGGATAAACTTGTTGATTTAAATTGAACTAGCAAAATTTTTCAAGAACGGTCCTGGATTTTTCTAATTCTAAATAAGTCAGACAATTAGAGAGTAGTAGCAGGATATCCCATGCGAAAATCAAACAAATCAAAGAAGCTGTTGGAAAGTTATGACCAAAATATGTTTTTGCCAAATCCCATAATTCACCCTATATATTAGTGATGAAGAGGAGCAGACACTTTTCTGATGGTCATTAGGTATTCCCCTCAGGTGCCTTTATTCGTGAGTGAAGTATGTACAGTTCCTCATGACACCCTGTATAAAACCCAATACACCACTCGAATAAATGAAATTTCCCATGTTCCGATACGAGCCAGCCAACAAAGACGACGAAGAGGAGGAGGAAGAGGACTTCAAACAACCGGTCAACGTCGGCATCGAGCAGATCCGCAAGATCGAGGCGCACTTTTGCGACCTGTGCAAGATCTTGCAGATCTGCTCGATGCCTTGTCAGGCTGCCGGGTAGTAGTTTGTGTCGGTGGAATAAATGCATATCCATTATACAGACAGTATTGAAACCTAATAACTCAGATAAACAAAATTCGCCAGGTTCCGACACGGAAATGAAGAAAGAGGCCGCCGACGACGACGACGAAGATGTGGAGGAGGAGGAGGACTCCAAGCAACCGGTCAACGTCGGCATCGAGCAGATCCGCAAGATCGAGGCGCACTTTTGCGATCTGTGCAAGATGTACCTGCCGCGGCCCAAAGGCGGCGAGGAGGTCGTCGACTCGTCCAAGATCCTGGCCAGGCATTGCAAGCAGCGCGTGCACATGCAGCGGTACGTCAGGTTGAAGGAGCGCCAGGATTTGGAGAAGCGGGCGGAGAAGTTGCAAAGGAAGGAGCTGGCCGAGAAGGAGGTGAGGGATACTTTTTTTTTCTGCAGGAAAATTGTGAATTTCGGGTAGATGGAATGTGATTTTTCCAGAGAGAAGAAGCTTAATTGAGAGCAATGTATACAGTGTCATTCGAAAAGTCAGCATCATATGGCAAACACTTTTATTAATGACTTATTTTGAAATTCGAGTTGGACGTCAAGTTTTGCTTCAAAAAAGATGAATAATGGCCTACTCAGTCGGGGTCACGTGACTTTCTCTACATGTCAAAAGTGACATTTTTTCAAATTAATCGCTGAAAGTAGGCTTATTTGTTCGAATATCGAAAAAGTTTAATTGAATTTCAATTTATTTCAATTTTACATATGTGACTCGGATTTTATTTTTCTATTACATTTTTTAAATTTCGATATTTTTTAAAAATTTTCGAAATTTCTGTAATATTAAAAAAAAATTGTGAATTCGATAAAACCTCTTCATACCAGTAGCTCCATCATGCTACTTACTTTCAATTACTAATTATCACTAATTATCGACAAAAATATGATTTTCTTCAGAAAATGATAATCTCCGCTTCAAAATTCTGTTATGTTTGATGCAAACATAACATCAAAATTCTATTATGTTTGAGTCAAGATTTTAGAGAAGAAATTCATTTAAATTCATTTTTTCAGTACTGAAAATATCAGTTTAAATGAATTTCGTTTCTAAATGCTTGAAGATATATCAACTCTGCATCAAACATAACAGAATTTGGAAGCGGGTATTATCATTTTCTGAAGAAAATCATATTTCTGTCCATAATCAGTGATAATAAGTAATTGAAAGTAAGAAGCATGAAAAAGCTACTGGTATGAAGTAGTTTCGTGAAATTAACAATTCTTCAAATATTACAGAAATTTTGAAAAATAAAAAAAAATGAAAATCTAAAAGTTGCAATAGAAGGATCGAATTGGAGAAGCATGTGTAAAATTGAAATAGAAACAACTTTTTCAAGAAAACTTACTTCCAGTGATAAATTTGAAAAAAATGTCACTTTTGACATGTAGCGAATGTCACGTGACCCCGATTGAGCGGGCCATTTTTAATCGTTTTTGAAGCAAAACTCAACGTCCAACTCGAATTCCAAAATAAGACATTAATAAAAGTTTTTCCCATATGTTGCCGACTTAATGAATGACACTGTATATCTGAGAGAAAAGAGCAAAAATTAGAGCGGAGAAAATTTGAGGAAGAAAAAAGTAGAGAGCAAATCAGTGAAATGTTGGGAGTAAATCAGTGAAAAATTGAGAGCAATTCAGAGAAAAATTAAGAGCAATTTAGAGAAAAATTAAGAGCAATTTAGAGAAAAATTAAGAGCAATTTAGAGAAAAATTGAGAATCATAAAGAGAAGTGTGAGAGAGAAAGTGAGAGATAGAAGGTAAGAAAGAGAGAAGGTGAGAAAGAGGAGGTAGAGACAAAAAGAGAGAGAGATGTGAGAGAATGAGAAGTGTGAGAGAGAGAGAGAGAGGTGTGTGAGAGAATGAGAAGTGTGTGAGAGAGAGAGAGGTGTGTGAAAGAGGTGTGAAAGAAAGAGGTGTGTGTGAGAGAGAGAGAGAGGTGAGAGAAAGATGTGCGTGAGAGAGAGAGGTGCGTGAGAGAGAGAGAGAGAGGTGCGAGAGAGAGAGGTGCGAGATGGAGAGATAGAGAGAGAGGTGCGAGATAGAGGTGCCAGATAAAGAGAGAGAGAGAGAAGTGACAAAGAGGTGTGAATGAGAGGAGTGAGAAAAAGAGAGAGAGTTGAAAGACACATCCTGGCCAGGCGAGCATAATAATAATAATAATAATAATAATAACTCGTCTTTATTCATCCATAAAATTATAAAAAGTGATATAGATGAAATGGCGAAGTGTCACCCAAGGGTGTTTTTCAACTTAACCATGATGTGTTAATTGATTATAAATACATTATAATATATAATATTGAATTACATTAATACTAGCTAAAACTATGATAAGCTATCTAGCTATGCTTATAATACTATAGGTTTATATCGATATCAATATAAGAGAATTATTGAAGAGAATATAAAATGTCAGTAATAATCATTAATGAGCTAAGATACGTTAGTGATACACTGCATTAACCATAGGAGTGCCAGAGGGGTCAATTGATTTCATTCAAGATCCAATTTGTGTAGATAATAATAATGATTTCAACTTTTTTTTGAAATTCAAAATACTATAGTCATAAAATTCATTGGGTAGTTGATTATATGATTTACAGGCATTGTACGTAAAGGAACGTTGAAAGGTAGACGTCTTATGTTTATAGATTGTCAACAATCGTGAATTCCTAGTGCAGTATTCGCTGGTATCACCTATTCTTACAAGTTTTTTTAGTAAATACGGAGGTTTTCCAATCTTCAATATTTTATGAGTAAGAGTGAGCAAATGTGATTTTCTAACATCCAATAATCTGAGCTTACCCGCTTCTAGAAATTTATGGCTAATGTGGTCATACTTTCGTATTCCATGGGAAAATCTTAAGCAGGAGTTCTGAATTTTCTGCAGGCGGTCACTGTCGGTTTTCAAGAGAGCTGGTCCATATACACAATCACAATAAGCAATTTTTGAAAGAATAAGAGACTCACAAACTTGAAGTTTCAAACTAGAATTCATGGCATGTCGATTCGGGTAAAGCTGTTTTAAAATATTGTAAGAACCACGACAAAGTTGATTGACATGTTTTGTGAATCTCAATTCTATGTCTACCCATAACCCCAAGTTTTTTACCTCGTTCCTAACGGGAATTGTGTTACCGCCCATGACGATATTTGAGGAAGTACTGGCAAGCTCACGTTTATGCTTTGGTCCAAAAAACAAAACACTTGACTTCTTTGCGTTCAACGTAAGGTTATGCGCTGCAGAGATATTCACCAAGGATTCTAAATCTGAGTTCACAACATTAGTACTATCAGGTTGTTCTACATCAAATGATAGATATAGTTGTGTGTCGTCTGCGTAATGGTGTATGTTACAATGCGGAACATATGAGTGGAAGTCCGAAATATAAATGGAAAATAACAGGGGTCCTAAGATGGACCCTTGCGGTACACCAGATTTCAGTGTTAGAGGTTCTGAAGTCTTCAGGTCATAAACGACTTTCTGACTCCTTCCTTTCAAGTAACGCTCCATCAGCCGAACAGAATCTTCATCAAAGCCCAAATACCCCAGTTTGTCGAGGAAAACGTCGTGATCTATAGTGTCAAATGCCTTGCTGTAGTCCAGTAAAACTAAGCACGTGACTTTTCCCTCATCCACTGCCCGGAAAATATCATCGACTATCATTGTGAGTGCTGTTGTGGTACTGTAACCGTCTCTAAAACCGGATTGTATTGGTGGTATAATATTGTGGCTCATAAGGAATTCATTCATCTGTTTGTATAGAATTTTTTCAAAAACCTTTGATAGTACTGATAGAAGACTGATGGGTCTGAGATCATTGAAATTTTCGGGGTTTCGTATTTTTGCAAGAGGGATTACAAGAGACATTTTCCAAGCTATAGGAAGCGTAGAATGTGTGATGCAGTAATTCAATAAATAAGTGATATGATCAATTAGCAAGTTAGAGATCAGGTTCAACATTTTCAAGGATATAGAGTCGAATCCTATTGCGTTACTTTTGATTGAGTGAAGACATATTAGTACCAATTCTTTGTCCACAGTATGGAAACTGAACTTGTCATTCACATTGTATCTGTTATGCTTGTATTTTTCTAGTAGTTCTGTCTGAAGATTAGTTTTTGTTACATTAGGTAATGTCGTGAAGTGTTGATTAATAACGTCAACATTAGCTAGGTTTTGTGGCAATACATCATTTTCATTTTTATTGACTGCATTCATTTGTCTTAGTGCTATCCACAATGTTTTGGGATTCCTTTGTCGTGATACGTAATCAAGATATGCTTTTTTCTCGCGTATTATGGACTGATTTGTGTAGTTTCGAAGCATCTTATAGTATTCCCATTGAGCTGCAGTTTTATATTTCTTATAAGTTCTTAGTGCCTTGTCTCTTTCAGTCATCATTATCTTAATAACGTCCGTTAACCAAGGAGCTGGGGGTTTTGTTGTACGTACCGTTCGTATTGGTGCTAAATGGTCGAATATTGTTAACAGTGAATTATTGAAAAAAGTTATCATTTCATCGATATTGTTGCATCTATAAATATAAGCCCAGTCAACATTGTGAAAATGTAATAAGAAAGTATCCATTTCGAATTTTGAGAAGTCCCTAAATCTGACATATTTGACAGCACGTTTGTCCGAAAAATTTTTGACATTACATATCGTAGCTGAGTGATCGTTATCTGATACCCCATCGACATGGACGACAGCGATATTCGTGAGATTATCTTTATCGGAAGTTATTATTAAGTCCAATAAAGTATTCGAATTAGCTCTTATACGCGTGGGTTCCGTGATTAACTGCAATAGTTCAAAAGATTCAAGAAAGTCAGTGAAGTGTTTTACCTTCGAAGAATTCTCCAATAAATTTATATTGAGATCGCCTAATATGACAATTTGTTCCCCATAAGGCAATACTGTGGCCAATGCATCTTCTAATTCACTAAAAAAATCCAGAACATTTGAAGAATGAGGTCTGTATATGCCACCGAAAACATATTTATTTCCCGCGAAACTAGTTGAAATCCAACATTGTTCGATGTTTGTGTTAATTTTACTGTATATAATTTTATAACACAGGGATTTATTCAAATACATTCCTATTCCTCCTCCTCTACCATTGAAATTAGGTCTATCAAATCTTATGAATTCATATGTGTCTATAGATATCAGATCAGATGGTATATTATCATTTAACCACGTTTCTGTAACAATGAAGATTTGAAATTCTTCATCCAGGATGAAATTTTTTACAACATCATAATGTGCTGAAAGGGACCTTACATTCAAGTGTCCAAGATGCATTATCAATCGACTTTGAAAATACTATTTCAGCAGTATACTTGACAAATAAGGAGATACAAAAAAATATATATACATTAAAATCTAGAAAGAACAAACGACAATGTTAATCTACTTAACATGCGGAGAAGTTGCAGTTGCAAAGTAGCTGGCCGAAAAGGAGGTGAATTGGGGGGGAGATTATACTTTCGAGATAGATAGAAGGTGCAAAGCATAAAAAATCTGATAGAAAGAGGAAATTTCAGAGCAGAAGCAGAAAATTTGAGGTAGAGAGAGAGGGGTGAGAAAGAAAGAGAGAGGAAAGAGGTGAGAATGAGAAGGTGGGAGAGGAGAGGTTTGAAAGTGTGTGAGACATAGAGAGTGATATTGAAAATACTGGCCAGGCATTGCAAGTTGCAGAGGAAGGAGCTGGCTGAGAAGGAGGGCGAGGATGGGGAGATAGGGGCGTTTTTTCTTCGGCAGTCATGAAAAAAGGGGGGATAGAGACATATATCATTTCGTTATCAGATGACGGTCGACTACTAGTACAACTTTATTGTAATTGAATAATCTCTCAGGTGAAAACCAAGAAGGAGGACAAAGAGGACGCCTCCGCCGACTCCGGCGACGCCAAGAAGGGCAAAGAGACGACGGCCAATAAGGCGGCCGACGACGACGACGACACCAAGGACGACAAGCTGTGGGCCGACGTCGACAAGGATTTGGGGGACATTTTGGCCGAGGCCGAGTCGGGCAACAAGAGTTCCGACGAGGACGAGGATTCGCACGTGAACGGGGAAAGGTACGACAGGTAAGTTTGGCCTACTCTTTTTATTTTTGATAATAATTATATTTATTTCATTCTTTGCTATAAACATTACATTGCATCTCATATGAATATAAATATATTTCATCAACATTTACAATGAAATAGGTAACATTTATTCGTCGAAAATAGGAAATTCAAAATGGCGTATCCAATATGGCGGATCCAATATGGCGGACGAGTTTTCAAGTTATGATCAAATTCTATTCAAAATTGGTATCTTAGGGTTTTCGGGGCCGGAGATTATGATTCTTTCGTCGGAATTTGGGAAATTCCGAGATGGTGGATCCAATATGGCGGACGAGTTTTTTAATTATGATCAGATTCTATTCAAAATTAGTATCTTGGGGTTTTCGGGGTCGGAGATTATGATTCTTTTGTCGAAATTAGGAAATTCAAAATGGCGGACGAGTTTTTTAATTATGATCAGATTCTATTCAAAATTGGAATCTGGGAGCTTTTGGAGTCAGAGATGATGATTCTTTCATCAAAATTAGGAAATTCAAGATGGCATATCCGATATCCATTATGGCGGACGAGTTTTGTAACTATGATCCGATTCCATTCAATCTTCTCTTACGAATAATGTATTGACTTGAATCAAAAACTATTTTGTTAAGGAGGGATCACACTTCAACCGAAGCATGATGAAGCCAAGTTCAACCACTCAATTTCGCCAAAGGGCGTTAAGAAGTAAAAGGTGAAATGGTAACTTTGTTTTTTCCCTGTATAATGATCAAGTCATCAGCTTTGCACGGAAACTATTATTCAGGGTATAACATTCCGGAACATGAATCTACGATTTAATCAAAATTTCACAGAATTCGGACAAGAATGAAAAAAGTTACAGGATGAACAATTTGTAAATTTTTTTGGTGGCCGTTTTTTGTTGGTGAGTGTATTTATTTCTACCTATTTTCTGTGGTAAAATCAAGGTGAAGAATTGATTAGTTTTAATTTTCGAAGATTCAATCACATTTATAAATAAAGCGTGTTGAAATTACCAAATTGTCTTGCCGATAGAAAGAAAAAAGAAATAAAAGAAGAATCAAGATTTGCTTTCAACCCTGCAATTATATTTCATCATTATTGTTTCAGGTTCAAATTGAGTGAGAAGAATGGAGATGAAAAATTGATGACTGCAGATGAAGAAAGCATGCTGGACAACAAACTAGTCGTTGATGAGGTCGAAGAGAAAAAGTAAGGGTCCCGATGAGTATTTGATAATTCGATGTTTGATAACTGACGAGTCAGTTCTTTGTAACGTCATTAGTTGTATTATAAATATCTTCATAAAAAAAAAACATATTTGTTTCCACATCCTGGCTGATTCAATAAGTAATAAGTACAAATTCAGGTTAACGTTTTACTTCAATAAATCTAGAATAAATTGATGATGTGAAAAATAAATATTTATTTGACAGTGAACGACACAGGTAGAATTCACTTTTTTGGTGAATTTCAACTTACAAGTTTGTGGTAAACCACTGAATTTGATGCAGTTTTTTTTCTGGTTTGTATTTAGGTACAGTATGTCTCATTTTCTCGATGATTTCGAGAGATATCTTGGTACTTCAAATATGGAACACCCTGTGTTGGAAAACATAGGGCACCCTGTATTTGTTCACTCGAAATTTTTGAGTGAAGTGGCAGTTTGTTTTTGCCTGCCAGGAAGACAAATATGTTTTCTTTTTATATTCTCAATGTGAAAAAATGTTAAGCATTAGTGAGTTGTTTAAATTTCTTGGATTTTTTATCTTGTGATTAATTTTATTCAATTTAAATAAGAAGGCATGAGTTGATTGTAGTGGAATAATCATTCAAATGAAAATAAATAATCGACTTGGAAGTGACGGTGGTTTTAATGCGATTTTCAGGGGACTGATAAAATTCCCCTTATGATGACGTCACCTAACGATCGAGCCTCTCGTGTGGACCTATAAGGTGAGTTATGTTGAACTGTACTCGGTATCATCATGTATAAGCGGAATATCAAATGACCCTTGAAATGTGTATTATCTTTGATGATGTAGGGTGAGATGTTTATTATTCCTCTGATGTCCACTCTTCAATGGGTTGCGTGTAAAAACTGTCAGATGACCGACCCTGGAGGTGAAACATTGAAACACAACCTCACTTTTCTTATTTATTTACAAGTGATTGAAATAGTTTTTCACAATTATTTTGGCATACGAATGTTTTTTTTCGGCTATTCATTAATTCGCTCATGCCACCACGTTGTGCTGTTGTAAAATGCACAAACACTGCAGCAAAAGACGAAGGAATCCTGTTGGTACATTATGATTTAAAAGTAAGTACCTACTATAGTCACTCACATATAGTTTTCATTTTTGAAATTTGGTAATTTCTGATTTTTCAATTTTCAATATTAGAAATACTCGTAAAATTTCTAAAAATGCAAGAAGATTGGATTCATGCAATCAAACAGGAGGACTGGTCTGACCTGACAAAATATGATCATGTTTGCTTCAGACATTTTTAATTTATTTGCAGTATTAGCTTGTATTACAGAAGTGGCAGAAGGAATTTCAATAAGGAATGATAAAATTTCATAATGAAATATATGTGAGATTACTATTTACATGAAAAATCATATTCCTTCGTCTCTCGCTGCATTTTTTGCGCAAAAAAACACGATTCGTATGCCAAAATATTGTGAAAAACTATTTTAATCCTTTGATTCCTCTGTAAACAAATAAAAAAAGTAAGGTTGTGTTCCAATATTTTACTTCCAGGGTCGGTCATCGTGCACGCGACCTATTGTTTCGTTAGACTAGCTCTCGATATGAACAATTGAATGCAAGTTCGGAACGTGGGATTCTTATGTTCGATGATAGATGGCGTGAACGATGGAGAATTTCTTGGAAAATATCAAAATGCGTTTCTAATTTTATTAAGAAGTTGAACTAGATTTCCAAGGATGCGTTTTCCTTCTTCCGGGACCTGAAGAGTTCAGTTGATGGTGCACGAATTCAATAATAGCTGAATAGAAGCTTCTAGAGACAGGACGCAAACGAGACAGGGCGCAATAAATAATCCGTGCGGAAACATCATTTTAATTAGCAAATGATGAAATTATTTTTGAAAATGTGACATTGTAAGTCTGGGTTTTATTTTATTTTTAGATTATTTTATCATACGAACCAGGTTCCTATTGTACCAATAAGTGAACTAGCTCGTCTGTTTGTGACGTGTCCCATAATGTATTGTACTTACCTGTATTGTTACAATGATGGAAGTAAGATATGGTGCGCGTATTCCGCCATTTCTACGTATTGAAAATTTCTCTGCGTCACAACGAGCGAGACGTTGATTCTACATTTTCCCGCTAGATGGTAATGCTGCTATTGCTGCTGTGACGAGTGGAAATAAAATGGCAAATGGCATTTTATGTACGCGGAACATATGTAACAGCAGTGGGATTATTCAACTCTGAATTCGAAAAATCTGCCACAATTTCAAAACTGACAGATGTCATAATTTTGTGTCGCCATCTATTAGAAGATCTGCGGAACCATTGCTCTCGCTGTTCTCTAGAGGTCGAGTAAAATTTCTGAAACAAAAGCGCATCAGTAATTACACCATATTTTACTTCCATCATTATTGTGACATTCAGTGGACGAAATAAAATTCTATTCTATTTTATCTTGACTCGAAATGTCTGTCACGTTTCACGTTCTCTGTATAATCATGATTTTGTTCAAATTTCAAATAGATATATTATAAATTATTATAAATTATAATTCATAAGGGTAGGATGCATTCGGCCCAATTCTCGATTCGCCCACCATCTCCGAATATACCCGAACGATGCGTTGTTGCCAAATCTGAATGAAGAATCATTATGGGCTTATCATTATTAAATAAATATTTCAATTTTTTTATACAATATGTATGTATGGTTCATATTTCGATTTGCCCAATTTTCAATTCACTCAATCTTCGATTCGCTCAATTTTTGATTTACCCAATTTCCGATTCACTCAATCTTCGATTCGCCCCAAATTCGATTGACCCGAAGTTCGATCGACCCGAATTTCGTCGTAATATAAGGAGGAAAAATATTCTTTTCTGTATAAGGAGACTACCTTTGCCAAACTACCTTACCTAACCTATCTAAATCGAAAATTGGGTGAATCGAAACTTGGAAGAATCGAGAAATGGGTGAATCGAAAATTGGGCGAATCGAAAATTATTTGTCTATGATTTCACAAAATATTAGCATCAAAAATTGATAGGGAGATATTATAAGTACTTGATCATACTTCCTTTGGAAAAGAATTTCGAAGCTTTGCTGTTCCCACTCAAGCCTGTATGGCATTATGCATTTTCTTGCACAACATTCTGTACAAAAATCGAGATTGCCGATTGAAACAGGCCATTTAAATGTATTAAATGTCAGTAGGTGGCCGTTTTGAGTTGCAGTTTTCATTTTTGTGCAGAATATTCTATGAGGAAATACGGGCTTCAGAACATTTTATTGTAATATAGTTATTTATGTACCAAGGACGAAAAACTGCCAATTATAGTCAAAAACTGTCTACTATAGTCGTGTGGCGATGACTCGATCGGCATTATAGACTATATGCAAGAGGAACACCGTTCACTCGGTATTTTGAGATAGGTTGTCATGTTATGATTTGTTGTCAATTCTGACAGGTTTTTTCTGAGGACTATTCCACTCTTGATCTCGAGAACCAATCAGAATCGTCCATTTTCACGGTTTCTTCTGTATTCTAGCGATATTTTTTGTGTATCAAATTTTATCGGACTTGCTCTACCAATACAGAAGCCGAATTGACCCACACGTGACCAACAAACCTCGTTTATCAGCGATAAAATTTTGACATCATGTCAGGTCAAGATTGCTTTGAATACAAATCTGAGAAAATAACATAACCTAAGTTCCTACTTTATTTTATTTACTTATAATTTGCGTTAGTGAAACATTTTGTACGAAAGGCGAGACAATTTTATTCTGGCTGGACGTTTCATGTGTAATTTAAAAAGTTTGCATATTTGTTGACGGTCTGACAACAATACTAGAATTCAAATTCCTTTTGAAAGTAATCTTTTTCAATTATTCAAGTTATTGTGACAGTTATAATTACGAGATGATGTGGCGCAAGTGATAGGGTTGTTGCCCGAGGATACGAAGGTCGGTGGTTCGAGCCCCTCGGCAACGATGTCTTTTTTAATTATTTCATGTCACATAAATTCAATTTTTTTTTCAATCGGATAGCAATTGTGTACACTCTTTTGAGAGCAACCATCTCCGAGATGATAAAAAAAAATACTGTTTATCAGAATTGTACATTCCACTTTGTGAATAACTATAAGTAGGTAGTTAATTTCTAAAAAATTAAATTCTGTATTTCATTACTATCATTATGTTCTTCTTCGCAGTTTGAGTTGGAATATAATTAAATTATGTTTCCTATTTTTACTAAGAGTAAAAATCGAATAGGGACAAGCAAATGAATGCATTTTATTTTCTAACTCAAAAACCGTTCGCCGGACGAAAAAAGGACAGGAGACCATTTTCATGGGGAGATAAAGGATAATTACAAAAATAATATTTATTTGGGAAAAAGACAGTGGCGTATGATTATTTTGATGAAAAATATGACAGGGTATGTTAACAGGGACGCCACTGATGGAAATTTAGAAATCCTTTATTATGGAAAAATGTATTTCTATACATACTTGGCACATACCAAAATTGAAAAAAAAAGCCATAGCGGTTTCAGAGATATTGGGGAATAACTGATTTTTTTGTTAAATTCCAACATCCTGTATCTCAGAAACGAAGCTGTTACGGACCTATGTTCACATGAAAAATTTTTCTTAAAACCATCCAAGGATTATCACCCTTTAGGATCAGCATTCAATTATGAAACACCCTGTATATAAGAAATAGGAAACATAATTTAAGTATATTCCAACTCAAACTGCGAAGAAGAACATAATGATAGTAATGAAATACAGAATTCAATTTTTTAGAAATTAACTACCTACTTATAGTAATTCACAAAGTGGAATGTACAATTTTGATGAACAGTATTTTGTTTATTATCTTGGAGATGGTTGCTCTCAAAAGAGTGTATACATTTGCTATCCAATTCGAACAAAATAAATTGAATTTATGTGACATGAAATAATTAAAAAAAAAATTATTGTCGCCGACGGGCTTGAACCACCGACCTTCGTATCACCGCGCAACAACCCTATCAGTTGAGCCACATCACCTGGATTATATTAGTTACAATAACTTGAGTGACTGAAGAAGATTACTTTCAAAAGGGATTTGAATTCTAGTATTGTTGTCAGACCGTCAACAAATATGCAAACTTATTAAATTACACATGAAACGTCCAGCCAGAATGAAATTGTCTCCCCTTTCGTACAAAATGTCTCACTAACGCGAATTATAAGTAAATAACATGAAGTAGGACAAGTAGGTACTTAGGTTATTGTCTCTTGTGTCAGATTTGAATACAAAGCAATCTAGACCAGTCACGATGTCAAAATTTTATCGCTGATAAACGAGGTTTGTTGGTCACGTGTGGGTCAATTCGGCTTCTGTATTGGTAGAGCAAGTCCGATAAAATTTAATAAACAAAAAATATCGCTAGAATACAGAAGAAACCGTGAAAATGGTCGATTCTGATTGGTTCTCGAGATCAAGAGTGGAATAGTCATACGAATACAACTCGTGATACTATTTTTCCTGGAAATATTCGTCGATTGACATACTCCAGCTTGCTGCTCTAATTTCGCTCATGACATTGATCCAAAACTACTCGCCTACGGCTCGTAGTTTTGATAATGTCATTCACGAAATTACTAGGCAACAAGCTGTCGTAACAATCACCGAATATTTCCGCCAAAATATTATCACTTGTGGTATTATATATGATAAAAGTTGATAAACTTATCAGGCCTTATTAGTTAACTACCCCGGCTGATCCCCACAGTCGAATCTGCAAATTGATAGCCGAAACCTTAGCCGATGAGGCGAGAAAATCGACAATCGCTAAGGTGCATATTACATTTTTCCGTCGACCTCAAACACTCATATGCACATCACAGTCCTATGACTCCTATGCACACGTGAAATCTATCAGATTTCGTGAATAATTAATTTGACAACAGCAACTGATAGTTGTTGTCAACTCTCTCTCCGCGTGACCAGGGTTGTCAGTTCGATTTATATTTCATTAGTAAATACCTTGTCAAAAATTCAGATCTATTTTATGCTATACAAATTCCAAGAAAGGATAATGAAATAAACCTATGACGTCAAAACATTATGTACTTTTAGTAAGCAGAAAAGTAACCAATTTTCAACAAAATGGAAAAAACAAAACTAACATTCTCATGAAAAAATAATCATATTCCTAATTCTCAATTCAAACATACTCTCAAATATCACAAAATACAGTAACATTTGTAGGTACTTGAAGATTTGAGTATGTAAACAACAGGAATAATTAGTAAAAATGAACAACAAGAATACAAAACGAATAAAAATATTAAACGTAAGAAACAAACTGTTATAACAGGTATATAAAAATTGAATTTGATCTGAATCAGATGAAGTATTGTCCTTTTTTGGTTTATACATATCATTATTACCTGTATGTAAATTTATTACTTATTTTATAAAAATAATTCAAACAAAGCGTGCCGAAATAGCATGCAATTTATAAGTGTATGTAACTTAAGATTAATTAAATTATAATATAGGTAATTATAATGATAAATAAGTTTCCAAATATTTTTCAGTAAGCTATGAAATGTTTCAGTTGATCAATATGCAAATCAGAAAACCGACTGAAAATTCAGTAGAACTACCAACCCTGCAGCGGGCGATAAGTTATCTATGGATGAAAAGTACTTGACTTCGGAAATAGTGGGTTTTTCGTTCGGAAACTAGGACAAGATTCATAACTTCGAGACGTTCAGTTTGGTTTGAGAAAGAAAAAATGTATCTTCCTCTTCCGCCCTTGTCTTTAGGGTTCCAACGTAAAACTATGAAAATTTGTTGGGAACAATGAGAAAAAAATGGAGGATACTAATCTTTTGTTTATTTTTATTGATGTTATTCTTCCCATGTCGTAAAATTTTTATGTTGGAACCCTGAAGACTTGTCATAATTGAAGGGGAAGAAGGGTACAAGTAACAGTTTCTGAAAATATTCGGTTGTCATGGGAGAAGGTGGTACGTGCATATGAGGATTTGTTTCTATTCTTCATATACAGAGTGGGCCTTCGAAAACGAAACCAAGGCTCTGTAGGTCGCCAGAACCGGTTTATGAAATAAATCTGAAACTACATTATCGAGGGGGACATCGTTCTAAAATATTTTCAGCCCTGTGGCGTTGACGCTTCTAATGAAAATTAGCAACAACTTTGTTATTTCAAATAGAACACCTTGTATTTTATTGCATTTTTAGATTCTCCCCGAAGAGCTGATTTCATCAACGCATCACACTTGGTGTCTAGCTGTAATGGTTTTAGGGATATAAAGTTTTCAAAATCGAGATTTTTCAACTTTAGCATTTTTTTGTGTCGAAACTATTTATTCAAAACGGTTTTCATGTCCCTATCTCAACTTGTGATTTACTATACGTCACATTAAATGTTCTGGGAATGAAATAAGAATACTCTGGACGAGACATCGAAATATTGACTCGAAAAAGATCACAAACGTTCATAGGTCAGTTTACTGAAACGAAACAGCGACGTTCATCTGGATATGTAGCTGAGTCAGCCCAAATAAAGAACAAATTGAAACGTCTCACACATATGTTATTATCACTTCTAAAAGATGTTATCTCAAAAAGGTCACCAAAAGTACAAGGAATTAATGTTAAACAAACCTCCCCAGGATGTTCCTTGCTCAGTGGGTATCTACTGACATTTATTTAAAACAAATACAGGGTGGTTCAATATTCAGAATTGTGATCACCCTGTATCTGTTCCAATTAAATAATAGTAGATAGTGAATCACAAGTTAAGATAGGGACATGAAAGACGTTTTGACCAATAATGAATAGTTTCGACACAAAAAATGCTAAAGTTGAAAAATATCTATTTTGAACACTTTATATCCTTGAAACCATTACAGCGATGCATTGATGAAATTCAGCTCTTCGGGGAGAATCTGAAAATGGTGTTCCATTTGATATAACAAAGTTGTTGCTTCTTTTCGTCAGAAGCGGCAACGCCGCAGGGCTGAAAATATTTTAGAACGATGTCCCCCTCAAAAATGTAGTTGACGTGTTTCAGATTTATTTCATAATACGGTTTTGGCGACCTACAGAGCCTCGGTTTAGTTTTCAAAGGCCCACTCTGTATGAGCAGATACACAGTGGTAGAAGGGGCTATATTGTTACATTGAACATCATTGACGCAATGGAAGGAGCTAAATCCAGATGTATACCAAAAAATGAAATGATAGCTAAATGCTGTAAATCATAAAAAATCAACCTAAAACTATTCCACACAATTGCCAGTTAACGCGTACTATCGAATGACACTAATAAAAAAAAATTTAAGGATCAAAATAAAATTTGAGGTTAGACCCCTTTTTCCACCCAAAGTTCTACACTGTAGCAAATCTGACGTCACCTCTGATCAAATTTCTATGCGGTAGGCACAATCACGCGGAGTTCAATCATTTAAATTGTTTAAAGTGGCGTACTTGGATTTTTTTCTCGTATTCTGTTCAATTTTTGGAAAGAAATTACCCGTTGAATAGAAGAATTAGAAAAAATCTGATATCATGGGGAATATTCCTTAGACTGTATCATATTAATGTGCACTTATTTCAAAAACACCTTCGAAAATGTGAATTTTTTCAACAAATTCTTTGTTTTCTTCATGAAAACATACCCAAAGCATTGAGTGTCATGAAATATGACCCCCGAAATCAGATTCCTATCAAGTTGAAGAATAGGACTTTCCCTTCAAAATTTAGAATTTGGTCCACCGTTTACTCAACGAATTTGACCATATGATTTTTTTGATTACATGAAAAAGTTACTTGAAATCGAGGAAATAAAAATGTATGCGTGTGAATAAATAAATAGGAAAAAAAATTGAAGTCTGGTCTCGTTTTTCCGTTTTTTCTCGGAAACGAAGCTTTCTATGGAGTATCAACAGGAGGATCTTTTTTGTACATTGTTGAATAGCCTTTCATAGCATTGTACAAAATTTGAAAATTTTCCGTCCTTGCTCACTTTTAAGTAAAATATAAACAATAAATTTCCCGTAACGGTGCCACTGGTAGAGAAAATGAAAATTTGTGTACATCATAAAATGCCCTTTGATGCATAAAAGGCGTGTACCAAATTTCATGAAGATGTATACAATATTGTCTCAGTTTTTATCAAGAAACTGAATATTTTTCAAAACTTCATCACCCTGTATCTCAAAAGTTGAGACTTTTAGGACATACGTTCATATGAAGTTTTCTTCTTAAAATGAGTCAAAGAATCACCTCAAATATTAGCATGTTTTTAAGGAACACCCTGTATATTCCTTTCCTCAAATCTCGCTAAAGTATATTTTGTTTTCAAACTCTTAGTTATGGCATAGATCGGAACACACTTTATGGTAAACATTTCCTAATTGGTATTTCAGTATTTATTAAAAACACTTTCTATTGGGCATTTGATATTCCCGTTACGGGCTTTCATAATATTATGTGTAGGAGTAAATACAGTTCCTCATCACTCACCCCGTATATTACATAATAAGTGTGTGTGAGAATAAAATTAATTTGGAAGATGATAAAATGATAAAAAATATATATTACAGACAGGAGACATTGTGTAAATGCTTATCGACAGAACCAAGAACAAAAATAAATACCATTTCCTACAAAGTCAATGCGAAGTTTAAAAACAGAAACTTCCGTTAAAACCTTAATATTAAGAAACGAGTAAACTAATTTGCTAATGTCACAACTCCACAAATAAAAAAAATCAAATATACACAAATTTACATTACACTTTGCTAATGGATGAACGCGCGGTGAAAGAAAATGTCATTACTGCCGATATCTATAACTTTTGTGGTAGTTTTTATGGTGGAAGAGGCGCCTGTGTTTGTTTCCATTGTAAAACGATTTGTAGCCTCCACCGTTGTTGTGTCCCCAGTTTTTCGCGTTGTGATATTCCTGAAACAAAATTTTCATTTTCAGATTTTTCTCCATATTTAAATATTGAATAATGTGAGCTAAATACGGATAATTTTTTATTCACAATGCACGAGTTTTTACTAAAGTTTCGTACCCTCGGTCGGAGATGGTTCCGTATGATTCACTGTTGCGTTACAATCAACAGTGCTGCTCCTATGGCGGCGTGTGGAGTCAGTAACAAACCCTCTACAGAATGAACAAGGGCCAGTTGGTGTAAATTTATACAGGGCTTATCAAGTAACCTGGTTGCTAGAGGTTCTTGATGTTTCCATTGGAATCAAATTTTGAGAATGTTGAGCATTATACATAAAAGGTAATAATATAAACAGTCGATGTGAAGTACCGGAAGTGAACAAAAACGTTCTTGTTATAAATGGAACGACCTGTATTTGATAACATTTTTACATTTTTGGAATCTGTACATATTGTGTCCCTATAGTGATATTCAAGTTTTCGAATTAATAGGGCTTCTAAGATTTTGAATTTGTACTAATAGAGTCACTGGATGGTATTAGTTAGATGAGAGTTTGGACACAGAAATGACAACTGTTAGTGTTTTTGAATGTTTAGATCCAATAAGTTACACACCTTGCATTGTGACAAGAGCACCATAGTCGTTCCGCGCTTTTTCATTCAAAATTGTTTGAATTTGACAATAAATTTTATGAACGTCAGAATTCAAAAATACAATTCCATAAACAATTGAGAAAAGAGCATAAATGAAAATGTTCTGCTGTATCATAATTGGGGAATTCTGAAGAGAACTGCTGTTCCATTCATTTACAAAACAGACTAGTTTGAGTACAGTTTTACATACAATAATAAGGAATTAGCTATGAGTATATCCATATGTGTCTATTTTGCCATATTAAAATGTTGTTTCATGCATCCTTTTCATTTTCATAACTATTGTTCTGCGAAAAGTGTATATATTATTGAAGTGCGCGTTTATACCCTATTCCCATTTCCTTTCTATAGCTATGATTGATTTGAAAGTAAATCTAACGTCTAAAATGGTATCTGCCAGTCAGGTGCTACTAGGGAAATTAAAAAGACAAAGAGCAGAATATATGTCTTATTCTTTTATTCACTCAAACCATAGTAATATAGAAAATAGAAAAGGTCAGAAGTTCAGCTGTGTCCGAACTCTTAACTAACTAGTACCATCCAGTGAATTTAGCGCCGAATACCCGATAGAAATATTTCATTCATTTCTTCAATTTCAAGAGTTTTACATTATTTCATTAATTTGAACTGGAATTTGCTCAGATTTACCTAAATATTTGCATTTTCAGTTTTTATGCTGATTTTGTTTGAAATCTGAAACTTTCTACGTAATAGTTCGTAATAGTTCGATGGAAGGAAGGATTGCTCGAAGTCATCTCCACAAAATTCAATGATGTTGTTACACAATCAGTAGGAAGATGATTCGGTCTTATAAAATACCATCTTCAGCCTAATTAAAAGTTCTAAAAAAGATTGATGTGAAAGAATCACATTATTTGTTTTTGACTAACTTGGAGTTGAAAAAGTGTGATGCTACAGATGTAAAATTGTTGCCAATGCCCATAGTCAAAAAAATTAGTTTATAAGTAATTGAACCGGTTCTCAATAAATGAAGGGCCCGTGCCCTGAGAACGCATACAGTTCATTATGTAAATTTCATATAGCAAAATGGTATATGAAGGGTAATTGCCAAAAGAATTTGACAACATCATGCCGGGTGACACAGTCAGCATGTAGTTTTTTTTATTTGAAGGGATACAAATTTGAAATTATATTATCGATGATAGCGCTTCCCTTGAACCCAATGACAACTTTCTTCAACTATCTGTTTGATCGGAAGTAGAAACAACTTTTCTTTTTCAAATGGCACCCCGTATATTTCTGTAGTCTATCTTATTCGCCTTGAAATTCTCTATTCAACTATGTATCACAATTTTCATCACATTCACAATATTCATCAAACAAAGGGGGTGTATTATTCTTGGATTTTCCAATGAACTTCACATGTTCTGTAACTCTAGTTAACATTTTTCTACCACTTTGTCCAACATATTGAGCATTGCAATTTGGATCCGAGCAAGAAATACAAAACTCCTGAATTATAATTCAAAGTAACTTTATTTTTAGTATCAACAAAATTTTTGTCGAGCATTCCTTCCTTACTTTGAAAAATTTCACTCTACTTTGAGCAATATGGATTTCTACCAAAGATTAGGTAATAGTTGCTCTAATTATGGTATCTACATATGTATGCTTCAATTCATTTTCCAACTGTCTATTTCTTCTTCAAATCATTTCCAGAACTACTCACTCTGTTTAACTTGTAAATCTTGAGTTTTTGAATGTTTCTGCTCTAAAATCTCGATTTTCAAGACTTTCCATTCAAAATTTGTTTGACATGAATTTTTGACTACTTCCCGATATTCATCCCGTTTATGAATTGTTGCGCTTAATTGAAATACCGCCGCTTCATGTTTTCTTTCCATTTTCCTAAGTCTTGTTTGATGGAAATTCTAATGAAGTAATATGATTCCCAGTGTTTTTGTAGTTGAAAACTGTACGAACTAGCAATTCTAGCATCTAAATATTTTCTCTAATACATGTCCTGTTTGAGAAAATTTCGAAATTGATATGTACGTTCGTTCTTTTGTTCACCGGTAGCTCCATCAATCCGTCAATCCACCAACTGTGTTAATATATTCTTTGGTGAATTCCAGTTTGACGAAACCATGTGTACATTTATTACTGTTCAACCAAAATTGCAAACCATTCCACCGATGTACAGATATGGTTGACGACTTTTGGTGGCTTCCGAAATGACAGCGACAGCATAACCTCAAAAAACTAAATATTGAATTTGAAAGCTGTTTGCCATTCGCCTAAGAAAAAATATGGATGAATTAATCAAAATTAGTCCAGAGTATGAAAATGAAATAGCTGCATTATTGACACCAACAGAAATTGACGAAATTTCGAAGGGTAGGTACTTCTTTCATTCCCATCATGAATTTCAAGAAATTAGTTCAAACATTCAGGAAACTTGTACCAACAGAGAATTCTTATCAATGGCTATCTATATCATAATTTAATGCAATGTGTTGTTTGAAGGTTGTTGAGAATTTTCAACGTATCTCGTCTACTCCCCAACATAAACAATATTTCATCCTCAACTATGAGAAGAACTGCTAGAACTTCTTGATCTGGAGACAAGGACCAATAACACTTTCAATACATCATTTTCCATTTTCCATTAGTTTTTGCCAATTCTGAGCTTATAACTAATTGAAAACAATCTGAATCCCCACCAAATCACGAAAAGAAAAATAAATAATGGAAAAAATCGTGATTGTCATGTCAAATAACTGCGGTTTTCCAACACTGATGACTCCAACAATTCGGTGCATCAGAGAGTGACGTCACTTCCATCAATGACGAAAATGTGGTGTAAAAAAGAACATACCTTATTCATTTGTGGCTTTAGTCCAGTACGTGGGGGTTTTTTGTATGCAAAAGGTGTGGTAGTAGCGATTTTCAAGTATGTTGTTAGGCTTGGGGCCCTAATGAAAAATCCAAGTTCTCGACCTCGAGGTTTTTTTGCTAATAACTCAAAAACGTTGGCTTTCAAGACGAAAGTTGTTCTTTACAAAGTAAAAGAGGACAACATTTTCTATATTTTTTGGAGAATAATTTTTTTGTAGCACACATATGTTAGGAGTCGCAGCTCCGTGAAGTTGCATTATTTGAAGAAAAAAGTATTATATTTTGTTATTTGGCTGTTAATAAGGAGATTGTTTTATTAGGATCAAAAGTGACACTTTGTTTGACAAGCGAATTTTGCATTTGCGAGGCGGAGCGTTTAGCGAATTGTAGTTTCAATATAAATACAACCACAGAGTGACATATTATTTGTGTATGGACCAGGTGCTCTAATGGCAAATACCGCGCCAGTGCCAGCTATAGGAACTAGACGTGGAAAATGTTAGGTTAGTGAGCATATCAACAATGATAATAGTGATTATTATTTATTCCTCTCCATACTACACTGTGTTTGACTTGATAATCTAACGAAGCTAAACAATATCGTTGTTTGAGACAAAAAAACTATTGCTTCCGTGATTATTCAAAAACAAGTTATCCATCCCGAGAATAACGAATGAAATACAGATCAAGCAAATATTTGAATCTTGAAGGCTTCCCTGATGATAACAGAAATAAACTACTCAACACTAATTTCGTCGCACACCAAAATGTCGCCCCTGTTATAATGTGAATAACTTTTTTCAGTTTGAAACAATTTGAATTTGGTTTGCACTGTTCGATAGCTCAGTCCTTCAGCTATAATCTGATACTTCATTGAAACAAAAGGGTATTCAAATAAAATCTCTACATGGTGTTTTCCGACACTGTGCAAAATTTCGGAATATTCAAAAGGCTCTCAAATGGTGAAAAAACATGTTTTCTCAACTTCGACAACAGAGGCATGAAGATGATGTCATTACCTCAAGATATTTCGCGAATCAACTCCCTATCTCTCTTATTTACAGAGTGATCTCAAAAAATCAACTTTTTGGTTTTGAAGCCATAACTTTTCTCCACGTCAACCGATTTTGAAAATCTTAGGCTCATTTTGAAGATAAAACTTCAGATGAAGAGATCTGAATATCAGAATTGGCTCAAGATGGCTATCAAAGATCTAGAGTTTTCTTGAAAGTGACCCAAATCTGGAACGCCCTTCGAATCTTGGTTGGGAGGAGAACTGAATGAAAGTCAACTTGTTCTCGGAAAAACAATTTATTCTGGATGCGTCCATATTTTCCTCCCTCTCAGTAGTCAAGAATTGTGCGTGAGAAAACACAATTGAAACATGTTCTTGCAAAAACATTAGATCATTTCTCCTCTGTAATGCATGGCCCGCCGTAACCAACGTTACAAGAATCACAATGAGTGACTGACAAACCCGACCAGCTGAGACTCATCATAAATGGTGTACCAACAAGAGCAACGGATTTTGATTTTTCCAATAAAGTGATTTTTTTAACAGTTGTCACGTACATAACATGCGATTTAAGAATATGGAGAAGTATTCAAGAATTCAAGCTATTGTAAAAACGCATTTCAAAAATGGTGAAAGTTTCACGAAAACAGTTTGCCAATTACGTTAAGTTTTCAGTCGCAATAATGCGCCGAACGAATCGACAGTAATAACCAAACAATTCGTGTCGGAGATAAGCCCTTTGCATGGATCGGACTGTCGTGTTTAGCAGATCCGCGATTTGGAGGGAAGATAACCCTTGTTCCCTCATTTGTGGAATCAGTTCCAACTGGTCGGGCGTTAGATGCGGCATCGAAACTATCAAAATCTGTTTATGATTCGAAAACGACATCTAACCTGACTTGTCAGTCACTTACTGTGATTCTTGTAACGTTGGTTACGGGCCATGCATTACAGAGGAGAAATGGTCTGATGTTTTTGCAAGAACATGTTTCAATTGTGTTTTCTCACGCACATTCTTGGGTACTGAGACAGACGAAAATATGGACGCATCCAGAATGAATTGTTTTTCCGAGAACAAGTTGATTTTTATTCAATTCTCCTCCCAACCGAGATTCGGAGGGCAGTCCAGATTTGGGTCACTTTCAAGAAAACTCTAGATCTTTGATAGCCATCTTGAGTTAATTCTGATATTCAGATCTCTTCATCTGAAGTTTTATCTTCAAAATGAGCCTAAGAGTTCCAAAATCGGTTGACGTGGAAAAAAGTTATGGCTGCAAAACCAAAAAGTTCATTTTTTGAGATCACTCTGTAAATAAGAGAGATAGGAAGTTGATTCGCGAAATATCTCGAGGTAATGACATCATCTTCATGCCTCTGTTGTGGAAGTTGGGAAAAAAATGCTTTTCACCATTTGAGAGCCTTTTGAATATTCCGAAATTTTGCACGGTGTCGGAAAACACCATGTAGAGATTTTATTTGAATACTCTTATGTTTCAATGAAGAACCAGATTATAGCTGAAGGACTGGGGTATCGAACAGTGTGAACCAAATTCAAATTGTTTCAAACTGAAAAAAGTTATTCACATTATAACAGGGGCGACATTTTGGTATGCGACGAAATTAGTGTTGAGTAGTTTAATTAACTGAGATGTTTATAATTCCAATACTAAACTATAATAAGGTGTATTTATATCTCCAGCATGGGTATGAAATGCCAAATCTGCTGAAATCGGAAACAAATCAGGTATGCGTCTCAACCCAAATAACCAACCGTCACAATGTTGTTTATCCTTGATGACGTCCAGTACATCCTTTTTAGTTCCTAGGAGCTAAAGTTCAACTTTAGCTCCTAGGAACTAAAATTCAACTTTAGCTCCTAGGAACTAAATATGTTGCAACATACCTACTTTTGTGTCAGTAATAGAAACGTCAATTTAGGAGCTAATTTTGGTATCAAAATGGACGACTTTTGTGTCGGTTGCAGAAAAAATAATTTGAACAAATGCAAATTTGACACCCACGTACTGGACTACTTGTCGAATGTCAGTAGTTTGAATATACAAAAACTTGAGAACAAAAGTGTCTCTGTGTCAAGTACATTGAGGAACTCTTAGACAGAACCAACCCCTTTCGCAGCATGTTCAATAAACACCTTGTTCAATAATAAAATAATAATAAAAACGGAGAAAACCATCGAGAAGAAATGAACAACTCACCTGCACCGGATTATAACCGGGATTCGACTTGTACCCGTTACTGCCCCCAGTAGTCTTCGCATGCTTCGCTCTGCCCTGATCCGAGCTATCGGCCGCATGACGTTTCCGCTCGTCCCTCCTCTCCTCGCCCATCTCCTTGTCCAATCGCGACCGCGAGCCGTGCCACGTAGACACCGGCGCCGCATAGCCGCCGTGCGACATCTTGAACAGCTCCTGCACGACGGTGTCCTGGGGGCGGGGTTGAGTGGAGGCGCCGTTGATTGGCTGTTGCTGTTGTGGGGCGGGTCTTCGGATCGTCCAGCTTTTGCCTTCCGAGGACGGTTCGTGGCCTGAGAACAATAATAAACATATACCATAAATCTACGTATATGTACATCTCAAGAAGAACAACGAATATATTGAATAATACCCCAATATGTTTCAATAACACATTCATTGAATATACAAATGTAACAGCATTTTTAGGTCATTACATCGATGAACAATGGGCGTGTACACCTTGGTAGAACTTTTAACTCAAACTATGTTTATAATAGGCCTATCTGCATCTTAAATTCCTTAGCAAAAATATTTGAAATTATACTATATGAAGATCTCTTGAATAATGTAAGGGACAAGATTGTAGATCAGCAACATGGTTTTACTGCTGGTAAGTCCACGGTTTCTAACCTGTGTGACTTTACAAATCATGCTTTTGATGCCATCAATAATCAGTGTCAACTGGACACTATATACACAGACTGTGCGAAGGCTTTTGATCTTGTTGACCATAGAATTCTTATCAAACGACTTAGCAATCTAGGTTTTTCAAAGGAGGCATGTGGATTTTTTTCAATGTATCTCTCTGATCGTTCACACCAAGTCAAAGTTGGGAGTGCCTACTCTGAATCTTTCTTTCCAACCTCTGGAGTGCCGCAGGGGAGTACTGTTGGCCCCCTTCTCTTTATTATTTTTATCAATACCCTACCTGAGTGCATACAATATTCATCTGGACTCATCTTCGCCGACGATTTCAAAATTTTCAAGCAAATTTCTACATATTCAGACTGCCTCCTACTACAAGAGGATCTCAACGCGGTATCTAACTGGTTCGTACAAAACAAAATGCGCCTTAACACGGATAAATGCTTCACGGTGACGTACTCCAGAAAATCAATTTCACATAACTTCGACTATGTTATGAATGACAATATTTTACAACGTCGACAAGAAATTAAAGACCTCGGGGTCTATATGCAGAGCAATTTAAAATTCACAACGCATTATGACTTTATTGTTAATAAAGCATATAAAAAACTGGGCTTTATTATACGCAATTCCAGAAACTTTGAGAGCATCAGCACACTAATCAAACTCTATAACGCCCTAGTGAGGCCACACCTTGAATATGCAGCAATAATATGGTCACCCATGGCTTACTGTCACAAGGAACGTATAGAACGTATTCAAAAAAAATTTCTACGCTTTATATATGTTAAAGAAAACAATATTTACCCCTACCACGTTTCTTATCAAAGCATGCTGGACTCGTATGAATTTCAAAAACTCTGTGATAGAAGGAAACAACAATCTGTGATATTTATATACTATATAATTAACAATATTAAATACCACAAATGTGCATTGATCAATTCTATAAAACTAGTTGTTCCAAAAATTAAGCTAAGACCTAAATGGGACAAATTATTTAGTATTAAGTACCCATTAGATAATCCTCTAAGCCAAATGCTGATGCTCTGTAATGAGCTCTTCAAGGATACGGGTGTTGACTTCTTCAACACAAATGTGAAAGCATTGAAGACACTAACAATGTAACTTTGTAAATGTAACTTTAGTAAATGTTTGTAATTTTTGACTATCATCTCTGTACATTTTTATATTGTGATACCATTTGTAAGTGTGAATTTCTTTCATTTCTTAGTAACTTTTTTAATACTTATGCTAGTTTTAAGGTACTTTTGTAATGTCTTGCACTTTAATTACTCTACAGTGTTTTGTGAGACTTTAAATTAAAATAAATAAATAAAAAAATAATGATCCTTTCATACATAAATAATGATTGACGACATAATTCGATCGAAAAATTAACTGGAATGTTCAATTTTTGGACATAAATAATAGTACCATCAGAAAACGGACCCTCTTATGACGTAGAAACCTCATCTCGCCATAGTTAAAAGAAAATACCAAACGCCGGACGGAGACTGAGGCAACTGATATATTAATTCTTTCAACTGTGATCTCGCGCTAATTCACTCTGCCAGAAATCATGTATCATTCATCTCTGTCTGGAATAGTCCTGTTTCAGTATTAGGGTTTTGACGTCACATCATCGCCTCGTTTTCAGAGGTCCGAAAAATCGGGGATTTCAATAATTTCTTATAAAACGTAGGGGGCTCACAGCAAGAAACGGTTTGCGGTGGTGAGCTAGTTTGGGTGAGTTCTATCGAATTACGAAATAAATTTTTTTTGTGATATAAGCCCATTATCGGAGGAAAAATTTGAATCCTATTGCTGGTATTATATACACAATTCGAAATTTCGTTCCTGTTAGATATCTATCTTTTTTATTCAAATTTACAGTATCTAATATCTTTCATTTGTGGAAGTACAAAAAATATTTCACGTTTGAAGCCATTCGTGAAATTACAAAATAAATGAAATTACGAAATAAAACAAACTGCATTTTCAATTTACCTTCTTCAGAATCAACTGTGAATTTATACAAACTTAAAGACTTGCTGAATCTAGTTTCATTATATAAACTCAAAATTTGTTGTTTTATTCATTTTGTCAGGAAAAAGAATTGAAAATATCAAATTTGAATTTTGATGAAGTTAATACGATTCACGCCCATGAAACAAGGCAATATTTATTGATAGCAAATAATTATAAGTCAAATTTTGGTAAACAATCAATATTCCATAATGGAATAATTTTACATAGCTCCTTACCTAATGAGTTGAAAAATATAGAAGCAGAAAAATTTTAAATCAAATTAAAGAAATATCTGCTCAGTAAACTTCAATTCCATATTTACTAATCATTCGCAATTTGATTACTTGCAATGGATTATAATATTTTGATTTTATATTTTATTATAATTTTTTTTATGAAAAACAATAATTGTGCAATTATTATTGTTTCGTTTTATTATGTTATATGTATGTTTTGTATATATCCCTATTATAAACAATGATGTTTCTTGGGCTAATAAAGACAATCAATCAATCAATCAATTGTATAGAGCTGATTTGAAGCTTCCTAAGCTACATGCGTCTCCAAATAGTTCGAGTGCATGGTTGTAGTATATGATATATTATTGTTGGTATGGCGAGTTTCATTTTTTTAAATGTTCATTGTAATCATATAAATGTAGAGGCAGGAAAAACTCAGTATTGGCCATATCGATGCATGTAATCTTACATGCTTCTTTGTAATGTAGACCAGCTAGACATCTCATCACTTTTTTTGGAATTTTAAAAACTTTTATTGCATGTGCCGAGTTCCCCAAGAATTGCAATCCATATGATAAAATGGATTGTACAAGTCCATAGAAATCAGCTCAAGTACATGTAGTGAAAATAACCCTATTCTTGAAAATACTTTTTGTTTTGCCTACTCACCTATGTCAGTCGAAGAAGTGACCTGCCAATCGCCGATCGCCGCCTTCGTCGACACCCTCGCCGCTTCCCCCGCCCCCTCTACCCCGAGCCCCGCCCCCGCGTGGTTCGAGTCCTCCGACGAGCTGCCGTCGTCCGGCTCGTACGGCACCAGAGGCTTCGCGACGGCCGACAACGACGCCCTCTTCGGCGTCGATTCGGGACTCGACAGGCTGGACACGCTCGTCGCTGGGCTCTTGTTCGGACTGGGGGCGGGGGTCCGTTTCGCCCCGCCCACCGAGTCGCGGTTGGCGGGGCTCTGTTTGGCCCCGCCTAGCGAATCGCGGTGGGCGGGGCTTTGTTTGGCTCCGCCTAGCGAATGGGAATCGCGCGACGTCGAGCTGCTGATGTCGGTGTCCTTGGTGGGCGTGGCTATCGAGGGGGCGGGGTCGGTGGAGGCGTGGGGGTCGCCACCTCCTCCGTCGGAGTCGTTCTCGCTGGAGGAGGAGGAGGTGCTGGCGCCGTCGCTGCAAATGTACGGGGTGTTTTAGGTTTTACTTGTGGGACGGAGATGATCAATGGACTAAATGAGAATATAGTTTCGGTATCTTTGTCGTGTAGAGAGTGGTTTTTCGGGGCATGTGATTGTTGTAGAACAAGAATCTTCACGAATACATCGTACTCATTACCATTTTTCACCGATTCGTCTTTATGCTATCAAGGACAAAAAAAAAGTAATAGGCATACTGAGATCAACATTTGTGTATCATAATTTTTCGAAATGAAAAATGTAATTAACTTAGCAAAGCCGCAAAAGAATTGCAAACATAAGTCATGGTTATGTAGACAAGATAACGACATATCAAAATATGTTGAAAAATACAGGGTGTTCCATTTAAAAAAGAAAGTAATTTATGTTACCCCGCATTCAAAAAACATCCTTTAGAGAACATAATTTTGAATTATAGACCTAACGATATTGCACTATACAAAGAAGTGCACAAAATATGGCCAGGACTGTATCTTCTGAATCCTTCGAGATACGATTCTGGAATTTGATCGCTAGTAAGTATAACAAATTGCTCATTAATTGACAAAACAGTTTTTGTTTAATCACTTCCTGTTCAACCGGGAACAACCCCATTTTTCGATTTTTAAATATGACACCCTGTACATTTTTTATATTTGGATTTAGGGGATCGTTTTACACACTTGAAACTTTGTTGATGAAAATGTCGAAATATATATCGGGTGTTCAATTTGAGAATTGAACGTCGGGTTGCTTCTGGTGGACTCAGAAGTGATTAAATTAATAACTTCTGTCACTTAACGACAATTTGGTATACCTACTACCCACAAAATTTCTAACTCTGACCTCGAATGATTCAGAAGTTACAGCACTGGCTGTTTTTGTGCACTTCTCTGTATCTTCAAAAATATGTTGTCAATCTCTTGTAATGGAGCTATACAGCTTCTCCACACTACGTGGACACTCGCAATATAGTTTTGATGAATGGAAGGAATACAACTTGAAACTAATTGAATCATTTTCGTCATGAAATCCTGTGATTCAATCCAAGTTGATTAGGAAGCAAGACATCATCAAAAACACTGGATTTTAGGTCAACTACAGCAAACTTGGATTGAATTAGATGATTTCATGGCAAAAACTTCAAAAGTAATTTCAAATTTCATTTTCTTTCCCAGAATAATTCCACAAGATCAATAAAAATTATGTCTTTGAAAGCAGAAAAGATCAGGCTTTCAAGATCTGAAATGCAATTCAATATGGTCTTCCACTAAAAAAAATAAAATATTTTCACATCCCCCATACAGCAAATGGGGATATAATGCTTGGAGGACACCATTCAAAACATGATAACATCTGATTCAAGTTTTTGTTCGACGTTTTCTCTTTCTATGACTTATTTAGTTTTAAGAGATATCCAGTACTGAAAGCGATTCACATGATGAATAAATCAACAGATTTAACCAATTTAAAAAGTGATTCAGATCAAATTATAAAATCATGTGAAAGAAAACAAGTCGACGAACCATATAACTAAATAGGAACTCGAAAAAAAAAGAAAGAAGGATGGTTATTCAAACCTGTGTGTGTTAAATAATCACTTGATAGCAAACATTCAAGTTGAACATGGAAAAACAATCTGTATTTCATAATGGAATTACATTTTACAATGAATGAATTGAAAAATATACATAGTGTAAGAAGATTTAAAGTAAATCTTGAACAATACCTGGTCAGGACAATTCGACTGAAACATGTTATAACTTTCATCTCATGAGAAAGTATAGATTTGTTTCTTTTTATTATTGTTATTATTTCATGTGTTCATGTAACCCAATTATAAACAGATATGTTTCTTGGGGGTAATAAAGACAATCAATCAATCCGAGTTCATCATTTCCATATTTAAAGAAAAAATAAGTATAAATTAAAAATATCAAACAAATCACGATTTAATAAAAAAAGATCAACATTTTTTCAAATAAAACAAGTTTTCGCAAATCTATACTGATTTGTTTCGGACACCCTGCAAATCCTCTCACCTGTTATTATTGGTGCTGGTCACGTTGCCGTTATCCACCGCCTTCTGCCTCTCGTTCCTTTCCGGCGGCAATTCCGGCCCGTACGCCTTGTCACTGGTAAAACCGACAACACCGCTGGAGGCGGCGGCGGCATTAGCGTGGTGTCCGTTGACCGCCTTCGACGATTGGACGACGACGGGACGCGACGCAGGCGTTTCGGCCGCTTTCGGCTTGCCGAGGGCAGGCGAGGGCAGCGGCGGCGGCGGCGGGGGGCGACGCACGTACGGCGACTGCTCCAACTCGTACAGCATGATGTACGCGTTGGTGTTGAACACTGCCTGGTGCGAGATCGGACGGACCTTGAAGAGAGACAAATGTTTGTTTGTTCATTCGTTTGTTCATTGATTCGTTTCATTCATTGTTTATTTTCAGTTGATTGATTCCATACCAATGGGCTTATATCACAAATAATTTTATTTCATAATTCGATAGAACTCACCCAAACTAGCTCACCACCGCAAACCGTTTCTTGCTGTGAGCTCCCTACGTTTTATAAAAAATTATTGAAATCCCCGATTTTTCGGACCTCTGAAAACGAGGCGATGATGTGACGTCAAAACCCTAATACTGAAACAAGACTATTCCAGGCAGAGATGAATGATACATGATTTCTCACAAAGCACCAAGATTGGTGAATCGGCAAGTTGATTTTTGGGACATATATGATAAGAACAAGAAGAAGATCAATTCTAACCTATATTAAGTTTCTGCAACTTTCGAATATTAAATTGAAATATTTCGACAAAAGTATGATTAAGAAATGATCTGTGCCTAATTGCAATTAAAAAAACATCATTTAGCTGGGAATTTTGAGAACAAATCTCGCCCCTCACTGGGTAAACACAATATTATAGTTGTCGAAGAATATATACTTCTATTCTTGTCAGAAATACTCAATATTAATTCTGAATCTGAGTCTGGTTTTTCATAGATTTTTATTCTCGTCACCAATGGTAAAATCAACAACTTTACTATACAGCACACATGGATATCAAAAATAACCGATATACCAAGTATCAAAAAATAATCAACATACTTCCCACCGTGCAAAATCTACTCAAGAATTTTCACCCTGTACATCGAGTTTACATAGTCTATTAACTGGGCGGCGGTAAGTTCCTTTGGAAGTCTTGACTTCTACCACCCTGGTTACACCATCTTTTCCTGGAAAGGTAGTTACAATCTTCCCTAAGGTCCATGAATTTCTTGGTTGGTTTTGGTGTACTATCACAACAATATCATTCAATTTGATTGGTTCTGTGGTTTTTGTCCATTTTCCACGTCTGGTTAATGTTGGTAAGTATTCCTTGATCCATCTGGTCCAGAAAATATCTGCTAATCGTTGAGATCTTCTCCATTGTTTCCTCAGATCTTCGTCACCTTGAGAAAGCGAAGGTTGACTTGGTGAACCGATTAATAGATGATTCGGTGTCAAGCACTCCGGATCATTTGGGTCCAGGGAAACATGAGTAAGCGGACGACTGTTAACTACGTTTTCAACTTCTGCAAAAACAGTCAACAATACTTCATCTTTGGGAGCTTCTTCCTTCAACATATTATTTAAAACTCGTTTAACTGATCCAACTAATCTTTCCCAACATCCACCCATGTTTGGACTGCTGGGAGGTATGAAGTGCCATTCGATTTGTTGTTCAGCTAGTTTTCCAATCAACTGGTCTGCCTCAAAGTTATTGAAATAATTTTTCAATTCTTCGCTAGCGCCTTTAAAATTGGTACCATTATCTGAATATATACATTTTATTGGTCCTCTTCTCGCTGTCATTCTTTGAATAGCCATTATAGTACCATCTGTTGAAAGTGTATGGGCTATCTCTAAGTGTATGGCTCTTATAGACATACAAGTGGAGAGGACTCCCCATCGTTTTTCACGACGCCTTCCGACAGACACATACAATGGTCCAAGATAGTCGATGCCTGTGAATGTGAAGGGCTTAACATTCTCAGTAAGTCTTGCAGGTGGTAATTGGCCCATTTCTGGATAATCGGGTTTAGCTTTGCGAATCCTACAGAGTTGGGAATTCTTGAATGTCGTTTTCACGGCAGATCTTCCTTTTATAATCCAGAACCGTTGTCTCAAATCATTCAAAACCATCTCAACTCCTTGATGGTGCCTTTTTTCGTGATAGTATTGGATTATTAATTTAGTATACCTACTTTTTGGGTCCAAAATAATAGGTTTCTTCACATTTTCATCTACATCTCTGGTTAAGTCTCCCTTTCCCCAAAGAAATCGTTGAGCACAACGGTCCTCAGGTCTTATCTGGACTTGATGAAACATTTCTGCGATGTCCCCGCAACAGCCCCATTTCCATCGTCTAAACCTCATCAATACTCCAGGAAGTGAACTCAGGTAATCTGGACCTTGCAGAAGCAGATTATCATTGAGACTGGTATTACCAGATTTGGCTGCGGCATCGAAAACCAACCTCAGCTTATTCGGTTTATTGGGGTTGACGACACCAAAATGTGGTAGATACCATACTCTTGGATTTTTGTTGGAGACTTCAGAAGCTTCTAGACGACGAATGTAACCTTTCCGGAGATAATCCTCAATCTTCTCACAGTATTGGTCGAAATATGATTTGTCTTTCGCCATTTTTCTTTCCACGCAAAGAAGTCGGTTGAATGCGTTTCTTCTGCTCTCAGGCATAACAACAGTGTCTTTTCTCCATAGTAGGCCAGTTTGGTATCGATTCTCACTCTCAATTTTCGAAGTCGTGCTCTCTAGGATTTCCAAGGCTCTCTTCTCTTCTTTATTTATTCTGGAGTTCGTCACAGCTACACCAACAGCCTCAGTCGAAAAGGAGTTCATAATGAGACGGTTCATATCTTCCTCATTTTCTTGGCAACATACATGGAACGTAAAATTATTGTCAGTTTCAAGCGTTCGTCCAACATTCCCATGTATGACCCATCCCAAATGTGTTTTTGTAACTACTGGACTCGTAGTCGAGCCCTGGAAGACTTTTCTGGCTACTGTTAGATGTATGTTGTCTTGTCCAATCAGTAGAGTTGGTTTGGCATTCCTCATATCTCTCAATGGCAGTCCCTGAAGATGAACTTCATTGAAATCAGACATTACAACCGTTTGACAAGGTAGTGCCAGATTTTTCACAGTTCGAATATTCTTCATCATGTAGATTTTCGCATCGTCGTGTATTCCAGCAATCTTCAGGTCTATACATTGGGAATCTTTATTATTTTGAACAATCTCGTTGGCCCATTGCATGCAGAATGGTCGAATTTCGCCAACATTACCCAACTTCTTTGCCATATTTTCTTCAATCAATGAAACAGTTGAACCTTCATCGAAGAGAGCAAATGTTTCGAAACAACCGTTCTGTCCATACAATTTTATTGGTGCTATCCTCAATAGAACTTTCGAGTTATCTTTGGTTGTGAGGATGGTTTCATTGATATTCTCATCAGGGGTATTCTTGGTGTGGTCTTCTTGCTTGATATCAACAGCATTCCGATTTTCAGGTGCATCTGTGGTGGCTTTATGCAGTAAGAAGTGGTGACGTCTTCTACATCCATCGACTCCACAAAATCTCCTGGATTTGCAGTTTATTTTTCTGTGACGTGTGCCCAAGCAAGAAAAACATACCTTGGCTTCAACTATCTTTTTCCAACGATCATCTACCGAGTCTTCTTTCATTTTGGGACAGTTCACTATACTGTGACTTACTCAATTCATCACAATAGAAACAGTGTGAATCATCTTTCTGGAAATCCTTGGTATTGGTATGGAAAACCTTTTCATGAGTTCGAATGAAAGGGTTTCTACTACTTCGATTCGGAAAACTTGCCTGCTGATACCTTGGAGTGACTACACAACAAGCTGCTGATGCAATTGAACCTGCCCAGTCAGCAAAATCTTTCAAAGTAGCTTTTGTTTCTCCTTTTTGTTCTTTCAGTACCACAATTTGGCCCCATTGGATCTTCAGGTTATTGGGAACCTTCTCCAGCAATCTCTTCAACAAATACGGATTGTCCAAGTAGTTACCTGCACCTAGTTGTTCCAACGTGGCAACTAGATTATTAACATTGCAGGAAAACTTGATGAACATGTCATAATCACCATCTTTGACAACAGGAAGAGCTTGGATTTGATCAATTAGAGCATCAATGATATATTCAGCTCTACCAAAGCGCATTTCTAATGTCTGGATGATAAGATTAACATTTTTCGGTTGAAGCATCATACCTCGTACACTGTTTAGAGCTTCTCCTTTCAGACTCTTCTGTAGTTTTAGCATTTTCTCGTCATCCGAATATTGACAAACTGCGATACGTCTGTTGAATTGTGTGATAAACAATGGCCAATCTTCAGGTTTCCCATCAAAAATAGGTAGATCTCTATGTAGGACTTGCCTATTCAATAGAATTCTTGTATTATCAGGACAAGAAACACTATTAATTGCCTTCTCAATCACTTGGCAAAGCCTATTCAAGCTGTTTTCGTCTTTCTTCTCATCCGCTGCATGCTCTTCTATAGGTTCAGGGCTAGGATTCCTATTCATGATAGAACTTTTGACTACCCACTTTTCAATATCTTGCTGCCTTCTGAATATTTCACTGTCTTCTTCTTGAGAACTTCTTTCAGTTTCATCCTCAATGTCTTCTAGTTGAGCTTCGGCCAATTCTTTCTCTAATTCTAATATTTTCAGCTGGGATTCTATCTCTAAACTTTTCTTCAATAAATCTGCTCTTGCCTTTTCTGTATCTATCGCCAATTTTTTCCTCTCCATTTCATGTTTAGATATCCTTGAGGAAATCTGCGATTTTTTCTTTGTCTGTCTAGACATCATAGTTCCCTCCTTCTTGGAATATGCTGACACACTCAACCTGGAAGTCTGTTCGTTCATTGAATCTGTTTCCCTTATATCTGTTGAATGCTCAGTACTTTCATTCCTACTAAAACTGAGAGGAAGATGATCTACTGTTAGAGATGGCGTCATTGAGGCTGAAGGAGCAATGTTGATGTGATCACCAACAGCATCACTTGGGTTTCTCGTAGGCAGGACTGTCTGAGGCCATACAAAGTTTGGATCTAACATTGTATTTTTACCCAAATTCTTTCTGACAGACCTTCTTAATTTTTCTGACATTTTTTTGTTCGGAATGTCAGTTACCGTTCAAAAATTTTCGTTTCTGGAATCTCTTCAAAATTGAACTTACTGTGTTACCACGTTAGTTCTTGTTCGGCTCGAGGACCATGTCGAAGAATATATACTTCTATTCTTGTCAGAAATACTCAATATTAATTCTGAATCTGAGTCTGGTTTTTCATAGATTTTTATTCTCGTCACCAATGGTAAAATCAACAACTTTACTATACAGCACACATGGATATCAAAAATAACCGTTATACCAAGTATCAAAAAATAATCAACAATAGTAGTAGTTTTGCTTTGCAGAAATTCATAGGAAAATTGCTTGAAGAATGAATGATTCATCTCCTAGAAGAACATTCAGGGGGAGATGCAAGCAGTATCTAGTCTTGGGAATAACATTGTTTCATACCAATTGATCATATTGTTGCATAGGTAAACAGGTAAACATATCGATCAGTGACTGATTTAATGAGGATTCTCCCTCGGAATTTACATATGATGGGTATTCTGATGTTAAATATCCTTTCAGGTGAACAATTTTCAAATGCAACTATAATAGGTACAAACAATGAAAATTGAATGAATATTGTGGAACTTGCCTTTCAGATTTTCTATTCCTCATTTCAGCACTGAGGAACTGTGGAGATTTTCTAGTATGTTAGAGACATAAAAATAATTAACCATTTCCAAATCAATTTTCGGTAGATTATCTGATGAGCCTTTTACAAATCCTGATTCAACGTTCATGTTTATATTCAATATATCAATAATATTATTATGTATTAATATGATATAAAGCAAGATTTGGAGGTTAATTTCATTACGTGTCTTCTCTTCTCATTTTAGACGACATAATTAACTTCGGAATCGGAATTCGAGACTCGATGCAAATGCAGCTCCATGTGAAACGGGTCAACAAAGCAATGTTGCTGCGTTCATGAAATATATTAGATTATTGTGAAATTGTCATGGTGCAAATGGTTTTGAGATTGAGACATTTCATTGTTTAGAGATTGTTTATATTCTAATGATTCAACCTACCATCGACAAGTTGAATATATTTTTCTGCAGTAGTGGTAGTTGATATCAAAAGATATTTCAATATCGATTTCGATCTCTCGGATATTTTGTTTAGATGATATGGCAACAGTGATAAGTGTCACACATGGGTCACTCTATGGGTCACGCTCATTGGTTCCAGGCGAGATGAGGTTTCTACGTCATAAAGAGGGTCCGTTTTCATAAGGTTCTATTATTTATGTCCAAAAATAAAACATTCCAGTTAATTTTTCGATCGAATTATGTCGCCAATCGTTATTTATGTATAAAAGGATCATTATAAACATGGTTTGAGTTGAAAGTTTTACTAAGGTGTACACGCCCATTACATTGATTCTCAAGTTTATACATTCATTTGTCAATGCTTTCATTCATTTATTGTTTAGTTCATTGGTTCATTCATACTGTCCTTCTTGAATTATTTGATTGATGCATTCACTTTTTCATTGATTCTACAGTTCATTGATTCATTCATTGGCCCCTTCATTGATTTTCTTGTTCTTGTCAATTCTTTCATTCATTCATTGTTTAGTTTGATTCTGCAGTTCATTGATTCATTCATTAACCCATCCATCGACTCTATTGTTCAAACATTCATTTGTCAATTCTTTCATTTAATCGTTGTTCAGTTCATCGTTTCCATACTTATTACATTGATTCTAGTTCATTAGTTCCTTCATTCTTTCATTGATTCTACAGATTATTGATTCATTCATTGGCCCTTCATTGACTTTATTGTTCATACTTTCTTGGGACACTCTGTCCGCACGGCTACCTGGCCCCCGATTGATTCTATAGTTCATTTATTCATTGATTCATTCATTAACCCCATTCATTGATTCTATTGTTTATACAATCATTTGTCAATTATTTAATTCATTCTTTGTTTATTTCATTAATTCTACAGTTCTTTGATTCATTCATTGACCCCTTCATTGATTCTATTGTTCATCTGCTTTAATTCATTCATTGTTTAGTTCATTGGTTCATTCATCATTTCCTTCTTAAGTTTCTACAGTTCATTGATTCATTCATTAACTCCTCCATTGATTCTATTGTTCATATATTCATTTGCCAATTCTTTCATTCATTCATTGTTAGTTCATCGTTTCCATAGCTATTAGAATGATTCTAGTTCATTAGTTCCTTCATTATTTTATTGATTCTACAGTTCATTGATTCATTCATTGACCCCTTCATTGATTCTATTGTTCATCTGCTTTAATTTATTCATTGTTTAGTTCATTGGTTCATTCATCATTTCCTTCTTAAGTTTCTACAGTTCATTGATTCATTCAATAACTCCTCCATTGATTCTATTGTTCATATATTCATTTGCCAATTCTTTCATTCATTCATTGTTAGTTCATCGTTTCCATAGCTATTAGAATGATTCTAGTTCATTAGTTCCTTCATTATTTTATTGATTCTACAGTTCATTGATTCATTCATTGACCCCTTCATTGATTCTATTGTTTATACAACGGACCTTGAAGAGAGACAAATGTTTTTTGTTCATTTGATCCTTGGTTCATTCATTGAACCCTTTATTGAAACTAATGTTCATAAATTCATTTGTTAGCTCATTGTTTGGTAATTGAATCATTTGTTCATTGGCTCAAGCATTTATGATGCACGCGTTGGTGTTGAACACTGCCTGGTGCGAGATCAGACGGATCTTGAAGGGAGACAAATGTTGTCTAAGAGCTGGCTACATGAGTTTCAACGTGACTCGGTACAGTCACAATTTTCTTCTGGAATGGTTCCATTTATGGTGTGGAACACTAAGGCGCGAGTCTGCCTGGTCGGTCTGGGGGACTTATGTGGGGGGCGAGCGGGGAAAGTTGCAGAGTTTCGGAGGGAATCGACGTCATTATATAATTTATACATATAGTATGTAACGTCAGAATGAGAGTTTGATAATTGGCAGACCGTTTTCCGGGGGCTGAAGTGCCGGCAGACCGCGTCAAAATTGCGAAAAAACTCAAAAAATCAACATGATAAGATAAAGTCTTGAAATTAGGTGTACATATTGATCATATATCAACTTGTTTTTAGGTTGAATGGCAGACCAAAAAGTGGAGGACAACACCATGGCAAACAGCGATAATCCTACAGGGTGGAGAAATTTGAACGACCAAAACTCGAGAAATTGATAGAACTCCATGAAATAATAGTATATCTTCCTATAAACATATATACTCTAAAACGGTTCGCTATTGAGATATTGGGCGTTGAAATAAACATATATATATTTTTAATTCAATCCTACAGTTTATTGATTGCGGAATTTTGAAAAATTCTAAGGAATTCGAGAAATTTTAAGAGCGTTTTGAGATTTGTGATTTTTCATGAATTTCAGGGTATTTTGAGGAAGTTTCAAGAATTTTGAGGAACTTTTGAGGAATTTGATGAGAAATTCAGAGAATTTCGGGAAATATCGAGGAAATTTCATGAAATTTTGAAAAATTTCGATAAATCAGAAGAATTTTCGAGAAATTATGGAGAATTTTGGGGAGATTTGAGGAATTTTGAGGAATTTCGGGGAATTATGAGGAATTTCGCAAAATTGTGGAGAATTTCGGAGAGTATTGAGGAATTTTGAAGAATTTCGTGGAGTTTTGAGGAATTTCAGGGGATTCTGACGAATTTCGAAAAATTAGAAGGATTTTCGAGAAATTATGGAGAATTTTGGGGAATTTCAGAGAATTTGAAGGAATTTTGAAAGAGATTGAAAAATGTCGGGAAGTTTAGGGCGATACACTCACCATACTGTCATCGAATTGGTAGTAGTTCCCTGCCGGCGATTGGGCGACGGCCGTGTAATGGCCGCAGCCGACCGTCGGTCCCATATGCGTGACGAGCGCCGCCAAGCGGTAGACGAGCGACGAGCCCGCCGAACGTTGGCGAGCGTACTTGCCGAGGTCGAGCCGCTGCCGGAACGACAGGTGCTTGGTGATCTTGTTGTTGGTGACGGAGAAGCGTTTCAGTTGGATGCACAGCACCATCGGCGTCCGCTCCAAGAAGAATTGCTTCGTCGCGGGGACCTTGAATGAAAACGACGATTCCATACAGTGAAATTTCTTTTCTACTCACTGCATCGAAAGTACGCATTTGGGGGATAAATAGTGGCTTGTTCACATGTTCATTATCAAATTCGTGTTTTTCAGACAAAAATACGTGAGTACCAAAAAAAAATTTCGAAAAAAAAACCATCGCATGATAAGTGCAAAATTACCCGCATTTGCTCGTTCATTTAAGGACACACACATCTCAATTATAGTTCCTAAATGTACTTGACACTGCTGTTTTGACGTTTTTTGTATATTAGAATACGGACACTAGATAAGCAGTGACCATCAAACATAACCACAAACGATTTTGAAGCAAATCATATGTTTTTCCAGACAAGGACAAGAATATGTTTTTCGCTTAGATAAAGGATTCTCGCATCTTCCTTCCTCCACAAGTCCTGGGAAGAGTACATCCATATATCTTGCTCGGTCTTTGATTTTTGTATGAGAGTGCATAGCATCTCCTCGAGTGGGTTAAAGAGTACGATGAATTGATTAGAAAATTATTTCTTCTCGAAATATTGAATGATAAGGCTAAAGGACCTCAATGGAGGTCGATATCAAGTTGGTATGAACATACACTCAGTTCCAAAAAAAGTGACGCACTTGATATTTGACCTATCTTCTTAAAAAAAAAGTACGCCGATTTTTATTTTTTTTATTTGTTGGTAGATAATGCATTTGTCTTAAAAAAAAATAAAGAGGTGAAAATTTTTTCAAAGCCTTCTTGATGGTGGTGAAATAACTCAAACCATGATTTATTCTTAATTTTTGACTCACCTTGTGTGTTGATTGAGTAATGGCATAGAAAGTGCTTACACACTATACAAAAGAGGCTTCTTTTGCGAGCATTTTGTTTTTTTATTCATTGATTTATCTCTGAAATTTTCCGAATTACAGCTTTTTTTGCTGAAACCTTGCAGATTACCAACTTTCTGAATATATCAAGGAACAATTTTCTAATGAAATAAACTGATACCAATAATTTTAAAAAACATTTTTATTAAACACAAGATTATAAATTGGGATGACTGCTTAATACCGTGTATTGCCTCCTCTAGCAACCCTAAGAACTTCTTATCTACGAGGCATACTGGGAATTAAGTTGCTTATCGTTTCGATTGGTATACGATCCCATTCTTCCATTAATGCATCTGCCATTTCTGCGAGACTTTCCGGAGACCTCTCGCGAGAACGTACCCTTCTCCCTAATTCATCCCACAAATGTTCTATAGGATTCATATCGGGGCTTCTCGCAGGCCATTGTAATATAGTAATACCAGTAGTTTCTAAGAAGTTTCGCACTATCGCTGCGGTGTGTGGTCGGGCATTATCCCCTGCATCAATATAAAATTATTTCCCACTAACTATGCATAAGGTAAGACATACTGCTCTAAAATGTCGATGTAAATTTGGGTTTTCATCGACTGCCTCACAGGAAAAACATGAAGGGGTATCTTTCCATTCATTGAAATCCCTCCCCACACCATAACGGACCCACCATTAAAACTTTCGCATTCTGTCATTAAATTTTGACTAAACCGTTCACCAGTTCTTCTCCACACTCTTTTTCTTCCATTCACCATGTTAAGGCAAAACCTTGACTCATCCGTAAACAAGACATTCGACCATTGAGGAATATTCCACTGTCCATAATTTTCAACAAAATTTCTTCTAGCAGCACGATGTTCGGGCAATAATTTGGGACCTCTTGCAGGTCTCCTAGCTTTTAAATTAACTTCTTTTAGACGTCTACATACCGTCTGCTTACTTACTGCAACATCACGAATTTGGCGAAGATCTTGCTGAGCATTTACCGCAGTATTTGATCGATTCCGTAAAATCCGCAATCTCAAGAAGCGATCATCTCTTGGAGAAGATTTCGGGGGCGACCAGAACCGACCCTCCGAGCGGTGCTTCCTGTTTGTTCGTACTTGCGGATTGCTCTACGAGCAGTTGCTTCATGAACTCCCACTGCACGAGCGGCGTAACGTTTACTACGCCCATCGTTTACTAACGCAACTAATCTTGCTACTTGTTCAGGATTTATTTGAGGCATTTTATGTAATTTTAGTCAATAAAACAAGACACTCAATCAATGACACAACGACAAATGGTCAAATATGAAGTACTCTGATCCTTCAATAAATTTAATTTGTGGGATAAGCGTAAGGTATCACCAAAAAAGCTGTAATTCGGAAAATTTTAGAGATAAATCAATGAATAAAAAAACAAAATGCTCGCAAAAGAAGCCTCTTTCGTATAGGGTACAAGCACTTTGTATACCATTACTCAATTAATACACAGGGTGAGTCAAAAATTAAGAATAAATCATGGTTCGAGTTATTCCACCACCATCAAGGAGGCTTTGAAAAAAATTTCACCTCTTTATTTTTTTAAAGACAAATGCATTACCTACCAACAAATAAACAAAAAATCGGCCTACCTTTTTTTTTTTTTCAAGAAGATAGGTCAAATATCAAGTGCGTCACTTTTTTTGGAACTGAGTGTATATACCAACGAAATACATATACTATTCCTATGAAATAAGTCTTTTATATGTATAGGTATGTATATACGTTCAGTTGAATATTTTTTTATCACAAAAGTTCAGAATAGGGTAAAAACTGATAAATTTCAACCAATGAAACATACTTTTATTTCGTATGGAACAATTTCACTTGTACAAGAGTGGTAGGTAATAAGTAATTAATAAATGAACAAATGATATGGCAACAATAACAGCTGATTTCAGTTAGGATGAATAATAAAGGTTCTCCAAGACATACGGAAGTAGGTATAAATGGACTTCAGCGCTCGACTCACTATTATAGATCGCCGTTCACATTGCTAAAGGGGATTGTTGGTTTGAACCCGGCCATTGGAAGATCATTTTCAATACCTAACATGAATGGTGCACTCGTAAAGCGTTCTTGTTCTGTGCTCTGATGATATCTTGCTCGTATCTTGGTACCCAAGAAGTGGTTCAAAATCCACTATAGGAGCTATGTAGTCGTCTAGCACTTCTCAACTACGCATGAACATGCACATTCAGACTTGGGATTTCAACTTTGAAGGAGCGAAACACGAACAATATATAGGTAATAGTTCTGAATTTTGCTAACTCTGACTTTTATATCTAAATCTTCTTGCTTCAACTCATTTTCCAACTCTCTATTTTATTCTTCTATTTGTTTCCTGAATTCCTCACTCTTCCACTTGTAAACCTTGGATTTTTGAATATTCTTGCTCTAAAAATTCGATTGTCTTTTCCTTTTAAAATATGTTTGAAATGAATTTCATTATCTGCAAGTTTTTCGTTTCATGTTGGTTCCAAGTTGGAATAAGGTTCTTTTCGATACTCGCCCAGTTTATACATTGTGGGTTCGGCTCTCTCGATACGATCCCATTCTTCAACATCAAATCATCCGTTCTGAAGTGTACCTGATAAAAATGCGTTGAAAAAGGTCCTATATCCTACCAAGAAAGGACCCCGCACAAAGCCATAGGGAATTGGCTCACAGTGGGATTTGCTTGAAATTCACATATGTTATAGGTATGGAGTTCCTGATCAAATGTTTTCATGGGACCAATCCTCTAAGACCAAAGATTTAGCTCTCAGGGCCGTATTTAGTATAGGTGCCAAATAACCAATGACACTTTTTTTTCAAGCCCATGATTTTTTATCTCCCATTATAATTTAATTGAATGAGAAATGTTGCGAAATCTTGGCATTTGTCTTTTAGCACAAGTCCTCTGTAAAACATGCCTTGTCCTACAGGACCATATTTAGTACAACTGTATTTGCCAAAGTGCCGAATCGAATTGATTTTGTTATTACTTTCTTATTTCTTGTCCTATTTCAGTGGTATTTGCAGTTGCAAATCAAGGGCAAGGACGCTAGGAACATGTGCTCTTATTTGTAGCATATTGTGGTATTTAGGATTTGCCCGCTATAATCAAAATGTGAATTATCCATCGACTTCTGTGTTACGGGCATATTAAAGATGCAATACTCCAGCAGCTGTAAGTGTTAGGGAAATATGTTGATAGTGAGTGCTCGACTTTTTTGTTCACCACCCTGTAAATATCGGTTTCAACGTTGTGAGTAATGAATTAGATGAAGTTTCAATTAGAGTTATATTTATATTATAGAGTTAGGTAATTGAAAAAGTAAATGACCGATTTCCACAATCAAAACGTGTTCTTATCTTTTCCTGTTACTATCATTCCTGAAAAGCTACGAGATATGTCCTACATAAAGATTAAATGTTAGGCCGACCATCTTGAATATTGAGATGGTGACCACTTTTGTTATGTACACAAATAAATCTACATCCATCTATCAAACGACCACTGAAATAGGACAAGAAATAAGAAAGTAATAACGAAATCAATTCGATTCGGCACTTTGACAAGAAATAAGAAAGTAATAACGAAATCAATTCGATTCGGCACTTTGGCAAATATGGTTTTACTAAATACGGTCCTGTAGGACAAGGCATGTTTCACAGAGGACTTGTGCTGAAAGAGAAATGCAAGAGATTTTGCAACATTTCTCATTCAATAAGATTATAATGGGGGATACAAAAATCATGGGCTTGAAAAAAAAGTGTCATTGGTTATTTGGCACCTATACTAAATACGGCCCTGAGAGCTAAATATTTGGTCTTAGAAGATTGGTAACATGAAAACATTTGATCAGAAACTCCATACCAATAACATATGTGAATTTCAGGCAAATCCCAATGGTTTTGTGCGGGGCCCTTTGAATACCTCGCAAATACGGGACCTTATAACCCTCTGCTGAAGCCTCGGAATATAATCTTGGTCCCTGGGTAATAATAATATTTTTTACTACCTTGGTGTATAAATAACCATTACTTCAAGTAGCCATCTGCCGTCAATGCTGTGACTAAGGTTCAGTCACTTCCATCGAAAACAACGAAAAAGTTTCACTTTTCCAGAACACAACACAGCACAACAGGACTAAGAAGCGACAAAGTCAAGATATTTAAAAAAAACAGTTTTATACCTTCTTCTGACAAGCCTCGCAATGGTAGGAATCATCGTCCAACTTCTCCCTCGAAAAGTACATTTTGAGCGCCGAATTGAATATGATATAGTAACAAATACCGCGAAAGTTGTCCCCCCCCCCCATATCTAAATTGACGTATTTCCGCCAAATTCGAAAAAATTACGTGAAGTTTCAGTCACCTCTGTTGAAAACAAAAAAGTCTCGCTTTTCCAGAACACAACACAGCACAACAGGTCTAAAGGTTAGTTCCCAATGCAGCTTTTTTGCTTTTTGCGTCTCGCACTAGGATTGGTGACGGGTAAATGAAAATTGCTGCACTGTTTTTTATTATTTACTTCAGTTCCCAATGAAACTACCCATCCTTGTCAATGTGATCGATGTTTGAATTGAAAAATCATGAGCATATCAGAGAATACTGAGAATATACGATAATGCTTGCAAGGTATACAGAGCTGCATCAGATGAGTAATTCATCAAAAAACGAGAATAGCATATTGAAAATGGGATAATCAGGTAGGTATATCTACTTCAGGGATACTGCAATGATTTACTTATCATGAGATCACTTTCTGAAATGAGGGTTTAATGAAGTTGCATTCAAAATTTCTACATTTTCATGAAAAATCTTGTGTTGAAAGAATTTATATTGCTTTAATGAATATTAAGGTTTCTGGAACATAACCTCAACGCAACACAAAGCAGCAACGCCAAAAAATTAATAACTATTTATATATCAAGGGAGCAAAGGTATCCATTTCATCCCGCGTGTGAAGTTTGATAACCGACGCGTAGCGGAGGGCATTAAACACACATGGGAGGAAATGAACGTTTGCTCCCAAGAAATATATATGATTTTATCCATGAACGTATATATTTGAGAGCATCGTTCTTAAAATTGTGCTTCAAGCGGTCTATCGAGTCTCGATCCAAATCAATGTGTTACATGATCTAAGGATTTACATGATCTAAGGTTACAGGACGAAAATTAATTTGACATTAACACTTCTGTCATGCATTTTATTTAAAGTTTCGATTCATGAGGAAGTGTATGAGATAATAATAATAATAATAAACGCCTTTTATTGTCATATGTGGTGTACATGAAAAAAAAAATCTTACATAGACTGTTGGCGAAGCCTAGCTCAAAGCTATTCCACTTAACCAACAGAGGGCTACATGCCCAAAAAAGATGCAAAATGGCTTTAGCAAATTGGCTGAGACAGCAAGGAAGGTAATCAACAACAAAAAAATATAACAAAATAAAAATTATAAAATAATGGAATGCAATACATAATACATAATTACTATAACATAACGAATAATAGAGTTTCAAATGATAATAAATCTAGGACATGAAGAATGTACTAAAAATAATATCAAGACTGCCTATCGAGTAGATGCTACTTCAATTTATATTTGAACTTATTTATATTATAAATTTTGAATTCGTCAGGTAACATATTATATGTTTGAATAGCATTGAAGACAAAACATCTTTGAAAATATGTATTTTTGTGTTGAGGCATGGTCAAGATGGTTCTCTGTCTAATATTTTTCGAGTGGAAAATGGGATCCTCCCGTGGGAGTAAATTGACAGGTTTATATCCTCAAATGAGGGAGCCAACTTTAACTTTCTATGCAGTGAGTAGATACCTTTTTTTTTCTACTCACAGAACTAAAATGGCATTTAGCGTACGGATATGTACCATGCTAAATGATCGATTAATCACGGAATGACGATCTGTGATTTATTCAAAATATTAACATGTTACCATGGCAACACGATTTCTTAAACACATTACCATGGCAACACAGTTCATTAAATAACAGCTTCAGTAATTTGAGACATGTCTGGCCTGTCAATTGTAGGAACTGTCAACTGTCATTTCCGAATTTTCAAACAATTCCCGTTTGTATCAGAATTCTTCATAAAAAATATATGCGGAATGTAGACGAAAGTGAAATCAAAGAGAATGTTTTGGTACTTGCAAATCTCCAAGAAGTGTAAAATTGAAGCATCCATCTTGAGAACAATTTATTTATTCTGCGCTAAGCATGACAATAAACGTGTAACAAAGGTTAGTAAGCTATGGACTGGACACATCTACAACCAATATCACTTATACGTGTCTCGCTGGTTGCATGCAGTTGCATATAATATGTTCTCAATTCCCATTCGTTTCGAATTATTTTGTAGGTTAGAAGGAGTAGCAGGTATATTAATGTTTTTTTCGGAGTTCGTAGAAACTCTTCTAGACACTCGCTCCGCTCTGCTCCGCTCGTACTTAAAATACTCGTAACTAAAAGGACGTTTATAACACTTGTTACATATACTATTAACTTCATCGCTTCAAATATTTTTCAGATTCAGCGTCAGGTTGCATGACGCGCGACGCGTAAAGCAAAAACGCTGCATTGGGAACTCACCTTAAGAAGCGACGAAGTGGAGATATTAATAAAATAATAAAAATCAGTTGTATACCTTCTTCTGACAAGCCTCGCAATGGTAGGAATCATCGTCCAACTTCTCCCTCGAAAAGTACACTTCCAGCGCCTCGTCCAGCGTCTGCGCCTTCCTGATGTCGAGCAGCAGGTCCTGGAAGTGCTGGAAGGTGGTGCTCACGTGACCGCACTCTAGACACCTCACCGCCGAGCGCAGATAGCCGCCGAGGATCTGATTGAGGGGCGTCGTTTCCTTGATCTTCGAGTCGAACTCCGAGTGGTTCTTGAACCTGGAAAGCGGCACAGATCGGGGTTGTTATACCGGGTGTTTTTTCCAAGGTGGTTCGCCCCTATAACTTTTTCATTATTGAAGAGAGAAAAACTGAATTGGGGGTTGTGTATTATAGTTCGATTTACAAAGAGAAAGCCGACATCCTCGCCAAACAGGGAATAGAATCTGTGTTCATAGGTAAATCATAGGAACAGAACCATACTTTGACGTCACCACAAGTGCGGCCAAAACAACTATCTCGGACAGGATCAACCAATTCGAAGGCGTTCCTACCTAAATCATCGAAAAACACAGCCAGGCAGAATTCTGGCAGATCTTAGAATGAAGCAGGGGTAACCTGCGAATTATAACAGAACTGCTTACGGGACACTGTCGTCTAAGATACCAACTAGGAAGGACGGATCTGAACCAACACGCGGAAATGACCCCAACTTCCGATTTTTAAATGGGACTTTCTTTACTTACTTTTATCGGGAATATAATTCAAGTTATTCGTAAGCCGACGAGCCACCCATTTCCATTTGAAAAATCAAGTTGACTGTAAAAATTCATATTTGCAACTTTTCAATAATTCCTGAATCGACTTTAAAGTCATGAGCATCTAAGTCGTATTTTTACCATGTTACTTGATCAAAAATTGAACGATTTACTTGATTCATAGGATTCTAGATCGAAAAATGAAAATTAGCTGAAAATACATCATTTGTCAAATATTGGGAGAATTGCTGATGGATTCAGAATCTCATTCTCGATCGGAGTAAGTAAGAATATATAGGATGTCCTATTTAAATATCGTAAGTATGGAACATTTCCGGTCAAACCGGATGTACGGCAGGGCCAGTGAGCACGTCAAAAATGTTGAATTGAACTCTAATACACAACATCCAATTGTCGTTTTTCTATCTTCAATAATAAAAAAGTTATAGGGGTGAGCCACCTCAGAGAATCACCCGGTATGTATTATATTGCCAGGGTTGCAATGAAATAAAAATCTTGGATTCTTGGAATTTCTTTCTGATAACACCGAATGAGGGAAAACATAATAGCTACTCGGGATTATCAAGACTTTTTGTTTGTGTTTACTACTCAATTTCGCTAAATTTGCTTTTTTTCTATTCCTTTAGCAGCACAAACGGACAGGCCAATAATTATATTATTCACTAACATATTACGGTTAGGGTTACCGAAAAATAAGCAAGAAATGATGAAAAATTATCAGTGTAAAACTTCGCCAATGGGCGAGTGGACTGATAATGAATTAGTGTCGTTAAGAACCTAGATAAAATTTTGCAACACTTCTCACACTTTTTTATATAAATAATGAGTCTATGCGTTGTTCAAAATTGTTGCATAGCATAGTTGCCATGTGTTGAAATACGATCGGGAACTTCAGAAATATTAGTTATTCAATAATTCATAAATTCTGAATTTAGTATTGGTAATATTCCTGATTAGCAATAAAAATTCAATTGTCTCAAAATGTTCCTTTATGATAGGTGGCTTATTGCTTATAATAAATTTGTGAAAATAATATTTATATCAATTCACACTAGAGGGCATTTGATTCGGTGAACGTGACAACCCTACGCACGACTTGTGGGCGTGGTCTTGTCAGTCCTTAGCATTCAGCACAATGTTGCCAAGTCTTCAACATTCACATGATATTTTGTTATGGATAATGAGAAATATTTGGACATGCTGGTTGCTCGAAAAAGTCAAGAATGAATTATAATATCGTGGTTTCTTCCTATTATGTTTTATTCAACGACAGGACTCCAACATCTTTTCGATAACTTGATTATAAATGGTGACTTGGTAACCTTGCTACCTTGCTTCATGAGTAGAAAAGGAAGATTATCTGACCAATAACAAAACAGCATGAAAACTGAAAAATTCGACGTATCGGCAAATAGCGTCCATGAAGGTTTGTTTGGAATGAGCTCTGAAATTCAACAATTTCGAACAACGCATAGACTTGTTATTTTCATAAAATAGCATCAGAGGATTTGCAAAAATTAATTCAGGTTCATAACGACACAGTGGAGTAATATTGAATAACAATAATTAATTATCAGTCCACTCGCCCATCAAGATAAATCACCTATTCCATATAGCCTTTCGTATAGTTTGGTGATTTGGTAACACAGTAAGCGAGCGTGGAGGCGTTAAAAATTAAAAATAGAAACGGGTTGGCTGGAGGTAAAACTAATTGTGGTGCAAAAAAACGATCAAGACTGATAACAAAGTAGAACAGTGCTAAAGCCTTTGAAAACAGTAAAAAATGAAAAAAAAAGTAGGATAAAACCCATTGAAAAACAAAGAGAATATAACAAAGATGAAAAGGAAAATGAATTACGGGTGGTCTAAGGTCGGGAAGTGGTAAGGGGTGCGCTTACAAGGGTAAAAACCGATCTATCTTGATTTTCGGCAATCCTACAAGCCCTATGAAAAAAAGATGAATGATAAAGTTGTAGGTGATAAAAAGACACGCTTTTTTTCACATAACCTCAAAATTTATTTGAAAAATTAAAATAACCAAGTTTTTGGTTTTTTATTTTTATCTTTCGCAAAAAAAATCCACTGTGACTCTTTTGAAACATTCATTTTCTCAACTTATTTTGATTCTCGCGTCAAAAAATGTGCTTTTTTAAAAAATCGATGGGCTTTCTAATCGTTGAAATGTCTACTTTCTGATGGTGTTGAAGAATATATACATTACTGTGGTAAATGATCTTAGAAAATGGAAAGAAACGAGAAGTAGCAGTCACATTTTCCAGATGAAATCCCTTTCATTATTTAGAACAACTATTTTCGCAATCTTAATGAATTTGAAATTATTTTGGTCATCATTGTACCACGGAATCTTCCGTTTTTCGAGTAATTAGTGTTGATTTCAATAAATAGCTCAAAATTGTACATAAATCTTTGACACCATCAGAACCGATTTTTTTGAAAATAGCATTTATTTTGATGCGAGAGTTTTCGATTAACAATGAAGGTGCTTTTTTGATATTAAGTCAAAATGAGGTGAAAAAATTGTTATTTTTCTACAAACGTCAAAAAATGACAAGGTTCGCGCATTGATAACAAATTGCGAAGTGACACTTTTTTTCAGTTTCCTACGTTACCATGATACCTTGCACAAAACAATGCGCGAAGTAAAACAGTGCGCATTGTTATGTAAAATATATGAGATATTTATATTCCAACTTAATGGTCCTCAATCGAGCAAACATCCACGAAATCATTTATTTCTGAATGTTCGACAATAATTCGGCTACACCTCGTTAAAAAAATCAGATCTCGATCACCAAAGTAGCATTTCGCGCTCTAGATACAAAAATAACTATTATGTACCAAGGCGGACAAACTGTCTATCTTAGTCGAGTCTGCAAATTGACAGCCGAGGCTTGCAATCAGGCGAGACAATAGACAGTGTATTTGAGATAAAAACTGTACATTCATTTCACCACTGTACATGTAAAAAAAAGAACTATGGAAGGCATGTGTGTTAGTGTGTGTGGGTTGTGTAAATGAATTTAGCATTCTTTGTTTAGCATCAAGTATATTTATTACTAATCACAAATATCAGAAATGTATGTAGATTAGGATGTTCCTATTTCAAATGAAGGTTATTATGATTATAAATAGATTATTATTATTTTAAAGAGGTAAGTTTTCCCAAATTTCGTGAAAAAAATATGTTTTTTGGAAAGGATAAAAATAAAGAACCAATAACTTGGTTATTTGAATTTCTCAAATAAATTTTGAGGTTATGTGAAAGAAGTGAAACCAAAACCATTACCTACAACTCTGCTAGTCAACTTTTTTCCATAGGACTTGTAGTTTTGTCAGAAATCGAGATTAACCGTTTTTCAACCTTAAAACTTCAGATCTCACAGGAGATCTCACGGTAATTTAGTTTTTCTTTCATTTTTGTTCCAATCTCTTCCTATTCGCGATAGAAAATAAGCGTACGCCACCTATCGGAGTTCTTGAAAGCTGTCAAAGCAGCATGTATACTTTGTTTTCATTAGTTCACATTTCTTTTTTGTTTGTGCTTATTGATCATAAAACAAATCACTGAAACGTGTTCAAGTTGCTGTCGTCAGGTGGGACGACGTGTTATTTTCTATCGCGAATTTGAAGGGTTATTCTTCTATAATTTTTTTCGGTTTCGAAAATCATCGAGTCTGGTCTAAACCACAGAAAAACGATCCACCTACCTGCTCAGATAAGCCTTCTCCATGGCCTCGACCAGATACCTGAGAAACTCGTGGGCGTCCTCCTGTCTGCCGGGTATCAGGTTGCGGCACACCAGTCGCAGCTTGTTGTAGATCAGCAGCGGCCTGATCGAGTTGGCGTTGCGCTGCTGCGAGTCTTGCAGCGTTTTGCGCATGGCGCAGATTATGCACAAGCCACCTGCAAAATGAACCGAGAGGTCTCAACACGTTTCACTGCTGAGTTTTTTTTTCTGGTTCTCACGAAAGGGATATCCTGTAATGTTCAGAGAACATCGTGAGAACCAAGGGAAATAAGGTAGGAATTGATATTCTTCTTAAATTTCTTGAGGTTATATGCCTCGGGGAACACCTCCCTTGGCAATGTGTTCCAGAGCCTCGCTGTTCGTTGGATGAACGAGTCTTTGGAAAGCGATGTTCTGCAGGTCTCGAAAAGTAACCACGAAGGGGTGCGAAGCCTCAACTCGACGGGTTAATCTCGCGGGGACTGCCAAGGGAGGAACAATTGTTGATAATTCAGAAGAGCATCGTCCATGAAGATCCATGAAAATATCTATAAAATATACGGTGTTCCAGAGAAGTGAGTAAGTTTGTGAGCGATGCATCACCCACGAGACGAATTGTCCTTTTTAGAACAGAATCCAACAGTTTCAGGTTATGTTTGGGTGCTGCACTTCAAATATAGGAACAGTATTCCAGGACAGATCGGATCTGTGCCTTATAGATCTTAAGCAGCTGACTAGAAGTGAAATAGCTCCTGGCCCGAAACAGAAAACCAAGTATTTGGGATGCACTTTTAACAATTAATCTCACGTGATTTTCCCAAGAAAGGTTATTGCTGATAATACCAAGCATCGAAATGGATGTCTTCAAAGGTATGGTTACTCCTGACAAGCTTATGTTGGGCACAGTGAGATCAGCTTTTCTAGAGAAAAGGCATGCTTGTGTTTTGTTTGCATTGAAAACTACCAAGTTATTGGATCCCCATTCGAGAATTGTTACCAAGTCCATATTAATGTTGTCAATTGTATCATCTGCGAAGCTGTGTACTGGACATGAAGTTGCTTCCAACAAATCGTTGATATTGAGTAGAAATAGTGTTGGTGCTAGAATTGATCCTTGCGGAACACCAGCATTTATGATAAACAAGTCAGATGAAACTCCTTCGACCACTACATGGAGAGACCTGTTTGAGAGAAAACTAGCTAGCAGAGAACATAGCTGGGAAGGCAAGCCATGAGATGGAAGCTTGGCGAGGAGTCCGTGGTGCCAGACTCGATCGAATGCCTTGGAGATATCAAGTGCTACGGCTAAGGTTTCACCATATTTTTCAATAGATTGCTGCCATATATGAGAGACGTAAGCGAACAGGTCACCAGTTGATCTCTGATGAACGGAAGCCATATTGCATATCGTTGATAATATCTGAATGTTCCAGGTATTTCATGAACTCGATGTTGATAGCTTTCTCCATCATCTTTGAAATAATAGATAGCAGTGCGATCGGTCTGTAGTTGCTAGGTAGGGTCTTTTTGCCTTTTTTAGTACCTAACTGGTTGTACTCTTGCAATTTTCCAGTTGGGTGGGGATATCCCCAATTTGTAGTAGTTGAACAACTTGCAGAGAACAGGTGTTAGTTCGGGAGCACATTTCTTGAGAACAATCGGTGAGATTCCGTGGGAGCCACAAGCTCCGTTGGTGTTGAGACCCAATAAAAGAGTGATGCTGAAGGCCTCAGTTTGACGACCCGCATCATCTGTTTTGTTAGAGAATTTGCGGCTGCGTTGTGTACATTGAAGTTTCCCATGATTATGATTTCAGCAGTTGGATGGTTCTCCTGAATGAAGTCCAGTTTTAGTGATAAAATCATTTGAGCTGATGGCCAGCTACATCATTGCTTCAACAGGAACTCGATGCCGGATCGATTTTATCGTGATTCACTGCTAAATCACAATATTTATCTATCTAATTGATAAGTTACTGTATTATTTCAAAGGAAACTGATTGAATTACAAACTGATGCGAGTAGATCAGCAGCGGCCTGATCGAGTTGGCGTTGCGCTGCTGCGCGTCTTGCAGCGTTTTGCGCATGGCACAGATTATGCACAAGCCACCTTCGAAATGAACCGAGAGGTTTCAACACATTCCACTGCTGAGTAGTAATCATTTGAGCTGAATGCCAGCTACTTCATTGCTTCAACGGGAACTTGATGCCGGATCGATTTCATTGTGTTTCACTGCTAAATCACAATATTTATCTATCTAATTCTAATTGATAAGTTACTGTATTATTTCAAAGGAAAGTGATGAAATAACCAACTGATGCGTGCAGATCAGTTGCGGCCGGATCGCGTTGGCGTTGCGCTTCTGCGAGTCTTGCAGCGTTTTGAGCATGGCGCAGATTATGCACAAGCCACCTGCGAAACGAACCGAGAGGTTTCAACACGTTTCACTGCTGAGTAGCAATCATTTGAGATGAATGCCCGCTACTTCGTTGCTTCAACGGGAACTTGATGCCTGATCGATTTTCTCGTGTTTCATTGCTAAATCACAATATTTATCTTTCTAATTGATACGTTACTGTATTATTTCAAGGAAAACTGATTAAATAACAAACTGATGCGTGTAGATCAGCAGCGGCCTGATCGAGGTGGCGAATCTTGCAGCGTTTTGCGTATGGCGCAGGTTATGCACAAGCCAATTGTGAAATGAACCAAGAGCTTTCAACAAGTTTCACTGCTGAGTAGCAATCATTTTAGCTGAATGCCAGCTTTGCTGCTTCAAGAGGAACTTGATGCCAGATCGATTGTATCGTGTTTCACTGCTAAATCACAATATTTATCTATCTAATTGATAAGTTACGAGATATACTCAGAGAGATATCAACATGTGTCACTGCTGAGTCACAATCATTTGAGCTAAATGCCAAGTTACTTCGTTTTTTCAACGGAAACTTTGATGTCAGATCCATCTCATTCTGTTCATGTACTATATCACAATATTTATCCATAAAAATTATAAGTTACTGTAGAATTGCCAAAGAAACTGATTAAATATTCATCTATAAAATTGATGAGTTACTGTATTATATTAAGGAAGCTGATGAAATTATCAACTGATGCGTGTAGATCAGCAGAGGTCATATCCAAATTGGATTAGATAGTTTTTGATGGCAAATCCGGCAATTTTTGAAATTTGGAATGGCTACCGGTTACTTTGTTCTCCATTAGTTCTAAGACAAAATGTTGTATAGATTTGGAGTCCTCATGACATTTTTAGATTAGATAATTTTTTGATGGCCACTAGGCAATTTTAGAAATTTGGCATGGCTACCAGTAACTTTGTTATCTGTTATAGGACAAACAATTCTGTAGAGATATGGAATTCTCCTGACGTTTTCTGATATAGATTTTTATGACAACAAACATCAATTTTCATCCCCTAAATTCATGGTAAAATATTTTTAGATTTGAAACTCTCATATTTCATGAGAAACAGAAATTTTTGAAGTTTTTTGGGAAAACCACTTACTTTGTTATCTGTTTGATCCTCAACAAAAATGGGTAGATTAGGAATTCTCATGACATCTGTTAGATTAGATAGGTTTTTATGAGGAATTTAGCAATTTTCAGAATTTAGCAGGAAAAGCAGTAACATTGCTAACAGTTAGATTTATGACAAGAATTTTCACAAGCTTTCAATCTTCATGATTTTTCAGGCAGAATAAGGTAGATTTTTATGAAAAATTGAGCAATTTTGGAATTTGGTGGACAAACAGTAACTTCAATGTATTCACAACAAAACTGTGTATAGATTTGTGATTCTAATGACATTTTAATCTGATGAGGAAATCAGTAGGATTTAGATTAAGGACAAAAATTTTAAGAGCTAGGCAATTTTCATAGTATTTAGGTGGAAATGTAGGTTTTTATGAAGAATTGAACAATGTTTGAAACTTGGCAGAAAAAGCAGTGAAATATATTATCTACTAGAGCCAGGACAAAAACATATTCTACAAGAAACTCTAGTCTTTTTAATGTAGAAATGAAGCCAATTTTACTGTTGATCTGAAATAGGTTGAAGTTTTATAATTTTCAGTGGTGAATATCAACCAAAAAATCCATATCTGTCAATTCCTAGTCACTACTCAAATTCATCTGCATTTTCAATTACCTATGGTTCACTTACCAGCTGGAATGAATAGCCCAATTACATTACCTTTTCATTTAATGAAATACAATTTCATTCACAGAAAAAAGTGCAGTCAGATGAAATAAAATACATAAACACATAAAATATTTTTTGATAAAATAGTAATATTAAATACCTACAAGTGACACATTGAATATACAACACACTGCCTGATGAAAATTTCATTTCCTTTATGAAATACATATAAAGTACTGGTTTTCTTACATTTTTCAACTAATCTATCAAAACAATTATTCTACAGTATCACAACTAACTTGCTAGTCCAATTTCAACTATGAAAATAAATAAATGAGCATTTTATACTCCATAAGCTCTTTATGAAGCACCTGCAAGATATGTGCTACTGGGGTTAATCTTGAGCACTGTAAAATTACTCAGGAGATTATTCACATAATTCAAACCCACAAGTAAACAATTCAAGTAGGTACTGTAAACCATAAAAAATCCCATCACTCTGTATCATCATTCACTCAATAATTCACATACCTGAGTCTTGGCACACTGCAGTGTGTTCCTTATCAGACATGAGCCAGTTGACCAAAGCAGGAACATGAAAGAGAGCTTGCAAGGTAGAATTCAGGTAGCATGTATTGCCCATATTAACCATTCCTGCGCCCACTGACCAATCACAGTTGTTCCATCCCAGCTGCACAGCATCCAGAGGGAACAGTTCATATTTCGGCAATTTCCGAGATTCTTCAACAGCTGAATCACTTTCTGGTTTACTACTTGAACAATATAAACTGCATGAAGAAAATATGTTTTTTATTTAAATTACTATATTTCATACACTATTTTTTATGATACAATACTAAAAGTAACCAAAACATAGGATTCAAAGGGATATTAACCAAGTATGAAGTCATCTAAGAAGGCACTAAACCAAAGACATAACCAAAAATTGGGGTTATATGGAAATAGCAAGTCAATTTTTACAGATTAGATATTATTTGAAGAATCCTACATTCTGCATTGGTTAGGTAAAGATATTCACTATTCTTCAAAAAAATCTATCTATGAAGTCATTTAAGAAGACACTAAACCAAAGACATAACCAAAAATTGGGGTTATAAGGAAATAGCAAGTCAATTTTTACAGATTAGATATTATTTAAAGAATCCTACATTCTGCATTGGTTAGGTAAAGATATTCCCTATTCTTCAAAAAAATCTATCTATCTATCTATCTATCTATCTATCTATGAAGTCATCTAAGAAGGCTCTAAACCAAAGACATAACAAAAAATTGGGGTTATGAGGAAATAGCAAGCCAATTTTACATTTCATATATTATTTAAAGAATCTTACATTCTGCATTGGTTAGGTAAAGATATTCTTATTCTTCAAAAAAATCTATCTATCTATGAAGTCATCTAAGAAGGCTCTGGACCAAAGACATAACCAAAAATTGGGGTTATGAGGAAATAGCAAGCCAATTTTACATTTCAGATATTATTTAAAGAATCTTACATTCTGCATTGATTAGGTAAAGATATTCACTATTCTTCAAAAAAATCTATCTATGAAGTCATTTAAGAAGACACTAAACCAAAGACATAACCAAAAATTGGGGTTATAAGGAAATAGCAAGTCAATTTTTACAGATTAGATATTATTTAAAGAATCCTACATTCTGCATTGGTTAGGTAAAGATATTCCCTATTCTTCAAAAAAATCTATCTATCTATCTATCTATCTATCTATGAAGTCATCTAAGAAGGCTCTAAACCAAAGACATAACCAAAAATTGGGGTTATAAGGAAATAGCAAGTCAATTTTCACAGATTAGATATTATTTGAAGAATCCTACATTCTGCATTGGTTAGGTAAAGATATTCACTATTCTTCAAAAAAATCCATTTATCTATCTATCTATGAAGTCATTTAAGAAGGCACTAAACCAAAGACATAACCAAAAAATGGGGTTATAAGGAAATAGCAAGTTTATTTTCACAGATTAGATATTATTTAAAGAATCCTACATTCTGAATTGGTTAGGAAAAGATATTCACTATTCTTCAAAAAAATTGAAATCATATTTAAATCTATAAAAAAGGTCAACTTTTCAACATTGGACAAACAAAAGCTAAAGTTGTGAAGGTGAAATTTTGAAATTTTTGCCTGATGATACATAAATAAAATAATATTCCAGAAAAAACATCACTCAGTGAGTCTTATTACCAGGATATCCGGACGGATAACGGTTCTTTAAACAGAACACAAAAACAATAAATAAGCTAATTTGAACAGGTAAATATATTTCAAAATACAAGGCTAATGAAGGGATAAATAATAATAAACTCACCTTGAAGTTGGAGTGTCTGCACTGCTCAAAACAATATACTTCGTCTTCAATTTATCTAAAACAGTACTTTGATAGCTTCCGGCAGGCTCAAATTCGATATTGGACAACAATGCTTTTTTCGTGGACCCCGCTAGTTGTGTATCCAAGGAATTTTCGGAAGATTCGTTCTTCACGAGGGCAGTTCGTAGGGCAGCATTGACCGGGTCCCGAATAGAGGCCGGCATCTTATAAAACAGGCACACGTGCAAAATCGAGCGAAACCCCGCTTGGACGACCCGAACTGCCGTATCGTTACACCCGAAGTGGGGCCGTACCCAGCGATTTCTCAGTTATTCCTAAACAGGTAACACATAACGAAGATAGGTATTGCAGGAAAGTGAATATGAATTTTCTAGCAACTGGAAAACCGTCGAAAAATAAAACAGAAACACCAACACCTACCTACACATCCACAAGCTTTTTCAATTCATCAATGGAGAGGCGACGATGCCACATCCCCAATCCACAACACAGTCATAGAAACATAGAACACGAATCGCTCGATTAGTTTTTACAGCATGCACGTATATGCGTTCCGTTTAACCAAGCCAGAGATGTTATTTCTCTCCCTGCTGTGAGTCCCTAGGTACGGACCATGTTCTTCGAAGATTATAGGATTTCCTTTCGTTCGTTCCAAGAGATGAAAAAATATCGAATCTGGCAACAGCAGACTCTGTCATTCCTGGCGAAGTCACTGAATAGCTAAAAATCGGAAGGGTATCTCCAATGTAGTATTGAATTCACACCTTCGAATAGAAGTGCGCAGCTGATGTTAGGCTATAGAAGAGACAAAAGTAGTTCTATCGAAATTTGCTAGAGTGTCATCCAAGTACAAAATTTTGACAGCAAGAACTCCGTCTGAAACTTCTATTTTTGATTTCGAATTGGAAGAAATTCTATTCCGTTCCTATGGGGAAGGTGTGTGGGTGGAATCCTTAACATTTCTCTCACAGTGTTGTACGCGTGATCATCGTGAACATCATCAATTTTTCCCAAAAAGCCAGTGTCGTGCTTTTTACAGTCCTCATCACAGAACTCAAAGCTTTGATCACATAGGAAGTAATATCGAATCATTGGGGTTTTAGAAACGTTTGCAACAAGTTTCACAATAAGATGTTGACAATGACATTCTCATATTCATATCACATAATAATATAAATAACATTTGAATTTCAGCATGCTGAAATAACGCAAAATCTTATAAAATTTTCAACGTTTTGAAATTCTATAAAATATACTTGTAACCGGAATGAGTGTCTGCCATCGAATTTTTTCATCAAAAATTAAAAGGTCTTTCAAGATATTGAAGATTGAAGTGATTTTTGACATTTTTTAGACTCATGTACACGCTCAAAGGAACCGGTGAGTACCCCTTTCACTTACGGCACCTGAAATAATATACCTAGCATCAATATGAAATTCGCTAATACCGTTTAATGGAACTACGTTCGAAACAATCAATTGACCATTTAATTGTTTCTGAAGATGATGTCAAGCAATGAATCAAGTCTTTTCGCACGAGTTCATCATCATCATCATTTTGATTCACTGACACTTTCACTTGTTCAAGATTTGATCAGTTATAGTGCAGGGGTGGCTGGTGTGAAGCTTTCAACTTCACTTCTTCACTTACTGTTTTTTGCAATTTTGTATTGTCCGATCAATGACGGCTAAATATCGAGACTGTCCCGTCAGACCGTCTAGATAATTAGCCGTTTGACGAAACAGTCTAGATATTTAGCCGTCATTAGTCCGGTTCTGTAAACAGTGTGGTCATTCAAGTGTGCAACAAATGGGAATCTGTTATCTGTTTAATGAATTGCACAACCAAAATACAGATAGTGCCGAAAGTTGGTGCATGTTCGGTAATCAGTTTAGGTGCACTTAAGGCCTGTTCGTTTGTGCTTTCTCAACCTGCTGAACTTGATTTTTTTCTATGACTCTCTTTGTTTACATCATGGCATGAACAGAGACAACTATGAGAAAGAGATCAACTTTAACCAGTTTAGCAATACAAACGAACAGGCCTTTAGAATGGTTGCAAGTAACGTATACCAGGTATATCGAAGACTGGAACCTTTGGCACGATAATACACTACACTGTTTTACCACTAACCAAACCGATTTTTTAACGCCTCGACACGTGTTTCCCTAACTATGTTAGGATCTTCAGGAGAAGATTAAAACTGAAACCTGTTATGAACACTATTCCCGAACTATATCCTTTGATTTCTCAGAGCTACAAATAGCCATCTTTCCTGACTTTCGGTGAGGAAATCATCATTTCAGAGCGTGGGATCCAACAAGAAGATCAATTATCTTCAGCTCTTTTTTGTTTAACTATCAACGACATTTCAAAGAAGATCACTTTAGAACTCAATGACTGGTATTTGGTATTTCTATGAGTTCATAATTATAAATGAAAATAAAAGCAAGAACATGGACCCTTCTTTTCTCAAACCTTTGAACTCTTTTTTCCCCCGCCACCTTTATTGAATTAGTCAGTACTGTACCTGGATTTACCATGAGTTTATCCCTATCTTAAGGATAAACCTCCACGAAAGTGAATGATTCCAACAGTGAGCTCTCAGATGCAAGAGGGCAGGGATTGATGACTTTACAGCGGCATTCACAACCAAACTTTTTACGTTTTGCTTTTTACGTTTCGTGTTCTGATTGGTGAAGCAAAATCTGGAATGAAAATGACGCAAAAAGCTGAATAATTTCAGCTTTTTGCGTTGGAAGGTGCCATCGTCTGTGAAAATGGAAAAAATAGACAGATAATATTGTTATAAAAATGGAAACTACTACTCTAAGTTGTTCATCAAATATAATAATACATGTTTATGGAACAGTTTATGGAAGTTATGATGTTTGCTCATGATTTTTTTCTGAATCCAGAGAATGGTAGATAGATAAGCACAGTTTATATTCTCATTCTCTTTTTTAAAATTGATGTTTCTCTTCGCAAGTATTGAATTTACGTCTCCGCCAGTTCAATGAATATTATTCATTATTCAACAATATAATTGCTGTTTATTTCACTTTATTTTAGGATGAAGCACGAATTACAAAACCAAGGCAACTAAGAAGAGCCGTAAAAAGTCACGTTGAAGTTTTTTTTGTTGAGAATGACATTTGCTGCAGTTCAATATCTCAAGTTCAATTCACGTTTAATTTCAGATTCTGAACGCACCCCAGCTTCACCAATCAGAATACGAAACGTAAAAGGTGTAGGTGAAATTTTCAGCGGGCACTTTAGCCGCGAGGCGAGAGCCTAAAGTTTTCGAACCATTCCCAAACGTCATTGTCAGATTGTCACTTTGCTGAGTTCACATGACAGCTTTTCGCGTTTTAGCTTACAGCGCTTTCGATTCTGATTGGTCCTATCGCAAGAAAGCGCTGTTCAATTATGGATACCTACACATGCCAACTTTCGCCTACAGCGGAAAATTCAAATCAAAATGTATTGTTGTTTACTATATTAAATTACTACAATTTGGTTAAAATGGATATTTGGGCAATATTGATTCTGAAGCAGAAAATCATAATTAAAGCAGGAGCTCTTTACTACTACTATAGAGTGCATAAGCATAAAAAATTCAGACAAATGTGGGTTCGCCCCATACTCCTGGAAAGTCGGAGATGGAGATGAGGTTGAATAGTAGACATATTCAGAAATTATCAGGCTCTATTCCATGAATACTTCTTTTCCTAACAACGTCCTTAACATATCTCAGCAAGATATTGTCATCTGCAAACGACTATGGTTATCAAAATGTAATCTGTAGAAATGATAAAGGAATATCAAGTTGAAATGAATATTTACCATTCGATAACAGATTGTATGTTTTTGTGTTACAGCAAAAGAATCCTCAATATTGTTGATATTCACATCGAACGGTATCAAATTGCTATCCATTTGTAAAATTCCTAGATACAAATTAGCACCAAAAACATAATTTTATTTTCATATAAATATTTGTAGGTTAGGTACGTTAAAAAATGACGTTGATATATCATTCCATCCTTGTTATTTCATGCATAATATCAGCTTTTTTCTTAAAATGTTCAAACAGTTCGAACTTCCAACCTGATTGACCTTGAACAGAGCTTTTTCGCAAAAGTACCAATAAGAATCGAGAGCGCTAAAAGCTGTCATGTGAACTCAGAACTGCCGTCACAGATGCCGACGTATGGCCGACGTACGGAAAAAATAATACGAAACTTGTCAAACCATTATGGGCAATATGGCTGTTGCTGCTGTTGCCATCTTTCACTTTCCGTCCTTATAGATTCAAAAAGTACCTCTCTTTGGTCCCATTTCTGTTGAGATATCGTATAGGCGATAGGCCATATATAGAAATAGTACATATGTCGCAGTGGATCACATGATCCATTATGGACGCATGCATATTCGCTCGTGGAAAAACTTATTCATCTGAGACTTGGAATTATCAACGAGACTTTCTGGGCACTACTGGGTCTCGAAATGAAGATAATACATCCTTGAAAGCCTACATCACTACACAAATGATAACAGTGGGCTGATGCCATCCTATTAGTGGACCAGAATCAAATTCCCTGGCCGAACTCGTCCTCCACCATTTCATTGTGAATAATAATCATAAAAAAAATGAATCTCAACATAATCACGTGATGGGAATGGTTCGAAAGATTTAGGCACATCTGCTGAAAAATTGCGTATTGTGCATGGGAGCATACCCGCAATGATTTTCCCCAACTTGAATAATCTGGAATTAACATACTTGGAGGAAAGAAATATGATCAATCAATTATCTCTATATATCATTGGGGCATAAACAAACTTGCATTAGGAAGCACCGGGCGTACGCACTGAATAAAAGAATATTCAACAAATTACGAACATATTTGCAAAATAATTGGGCGCATTCAAGAGGCTTATTTTTGCCAACAAAATCTGCTCATCACTTTGTTCTGATACTCCTATATTGTATTGCAGGCGTAAAAGCAGATGATAAGGATAATAAAATACTCCCCAGTAGTATCTATATTGTATTATAGCATTGATTACAGAAATCATTTACATACTATCCACAATCATTCACATAAACCAGGTGATTTTCCAATAAGGTGGCTCACTCGCATAACTTTTTAATTATTGAAGGCAAAAAACGAAATTTGGAGGAAGTGGATAATAGTTCAATTGACACTTTTTGATATATTTATATATACTTGCTTTGGAGTACTTCCGGTTTGTCTGGAAATTTCATTCAAAAAATTCGATATTTCGAATTATATTACACTTATTTTGACATAATTAGTTAATATCGTTAAATTTGACTCTCTGCTGAATTCAAAAATAGTTCAGTGGCACAAACTAGATGTTAGACAAGGACAGATTTATCGGACCTCTCTATATTTCAATGCGGCTACGTTGGTATCATTGAAGA